CATAACAGCAACCTTTTCGATTATCAAACAATCCCTTGCACTTGGTTGTTTTCCGCGAGTGAAGGTTGTACATACGTCGAAGAAGTTCCTTGGTCAGATATATGTTCCGGATATTAATTGGATTCTTATGATTCTTTGCATTGCTGTTACTGCCGGATTCAAGAACCAAAGCCAAATCGGAAATGCTTATGGTAAGTTATTATGCCTTCTTACATTTATCGAAGTTTCTTAATGCATCGTTCTGTTGAAAATTTGTCTTGTAGGAAAAGCCCCATCTCGAAATATTTCTAAATTTATACGAGATTTTGCGTAGAAAATCTTTTTGGGTTTGCTGATAAATGTACCTAAGAATTACGCTTAATTGTATCATAATTTATGTTAATTCAGGGACAGCTGTGGTGATCGTCATGTTGGTAACGACGTTGCTTATGACTTTAATCATGATTTTGGTTTGGCGATGTCACTGGATTCTCGTTCTCCTCTTCACCGGCTTGTCATTTGTTGTAGAGTGCACATATTTTTCTGCTGTACTCTTCAAGGTTAATCAAGGTGGGTGGGTTCCTCTTGTTATTGCAGCAGCCTTTTTGCTAATCATGTATGTTTGGCATTACGGTACACTGAAACGATATGAGTTCGAGATGCATAGTAAGGTTTCGATGGCTTGGATTCTTGGGCTTGGCCCTAGTTTAGGATTAGTTCGAGTTCCCGGAATCGGATTAGTCTACACTGAGCTAGCAAGTGGTGTGCCTCACATATTTTCCCACTTCATCACTAACCTACCTGCAATCCATTCCGTGGTTGTTTTCGTCTGTGTGAAATACCTTCCGGTCTACACTGTTCCGGAAGAAGAAAGGTTCCTTGTAAAACGGATTGGACCGAAGAATTTCCATATGTTTCGTTGCGTCGCTAGGTATGGCTACAAAGACCTTCATAAGAAAGATTATGATTTCGAGAAAAAGCTATTTGACAATCTCTTCTTATTCGTGCGGCTCGAGTCAATGATGGAAGGTTTTTCAGACTCGGATGAATATAGCCTGTATGGCCAGCAAACCGAGCAGTCCAGGGACGGTATGTTGAATAACAATGGCAACACAACTTGCTCCTATGTTGATACCACGACTTCATCAGTGGATTCAATCATGCTGGTGAGATCTCCAATGCATACAAGTGCGACGGTAAGATCACCGGGGCAAGTAAGCAGCCAGACTGAGACCGATGAGTTGGAGTTTTTGAATAGCTGTAGGGATGCTGGGGTGGTACACATAATGGGGAACACAGTGGTGAGAGCAAGAAGGGATTCGAGATTTTACAAAAAAATAGCAATCGACTATGTATATGCATTTCTTAGGAAGATATGTAGGGAGCATAGTGTGATTTTTAATGTTCCACATGAGAGTCTCTTGAACGTAGGACAGGTTTTTTATGTGTAAGTGCTAGTCAATTTCGTAAATAAAAACCAGTGATTTACATTTTAGTTTATCTACTCCTGTTGCCCAACTAGATTTCATTAATTGTTACGTTAAACGTCTATTTTTAATGAAAAATTCTTTAAGTATCAAAAAGCCAACTTGAACTATAAACCTGAAAGTGTATTAAGCCAAAAAAAAAATGTAAACCCTACTATAAATTGCTGGCAGCCACTGGATTCTTATACTGATCTTAGATGTGTTTAGGGTTTCGATCCAATTTGACGGGGGCCGGTTTTTTATTTTAAAAATTCAAGTTCGAGTCAAGTTGAATTATTTGTAAAAATAAGGTCGAGTTAAGTTTAGAATTATGGTAAAAAAAAGTCTTGATCGACTCGATATAATATTATAAATATCTCTTATACAGTTAGAGATAATTGTAATAATATGTATTTTTATTTTTTATTTTTTAATTATGCTCTTATTTTATTTAATATTTTTTGTATATAATTATATCTATGTTGAATTTAATCAAGTGTGAGTTTTAACCTAAAAAATTAGATCTATATCAGGTGCATGTAAAAGAATTTATTTTTCGAGTCAAACTCAGATAGACTAAAAACCTGATCTGACCTAACTCGACCCACAATCGTCTCTAATTATACTTACAAATTGCGGAATACTCAATTTAATAAAAGCTTCATATATATCTAATCAAAATGAAAGCGTCTATCTTAAAAATTGAATTTCCTTCAAATATATATTTATTTTATTGTTCGTATCATGAAATTTTATTTGTCTCTCTCATATAAAATGATTTATATTATTATATTTATATTTTTAAAACTATATTTAAATCTATCACTAACGTTACCTACAATCACTACTATTTAAACACGGGAGAGTCTAAAATACAATTTGTTAATATACGATTAAAAATAATATAAATCGGTTGTAACCGATAAAACCGAACCGAAAATTTTATCGAGAGCATAATTTTTTAGGTTGGCATGATAATATTTTAGGTTGAAATTAAAAATATTACCTTTTCATACTATATTTTTAACAGAAATTATTATAAATTATATATTTTTTGGTTATCAACCCTCAAACCACAACAATATATTGATTATAATCGAAATTATTAAAAATTGCATAACCTTTTAGGTTGAACACGATAACATTTTAAGTTAAAAAGCATATTAAATCAATCTCAATTTAGATTGTCGTACAATTAAAAAACCATTTAAACACTAAAAACTATCATATTTTTTTTAGCATATCACAAGTGTTAAAAGTTTGATAAGAAACACTTGGGTTAGTTTAGCATTATTTTTGGAAAGTAACTTTTAAAAATAACATAAAAAATAATTTTTGAAATAATTTTTCGATAATATAATTTAAAATTTAATTGTTTGTGATTATTGTAAAAATGTTATTTTAAAAATATAAAATATCTATTTTAGATATTATGTTGTAAATTAAAAATATAATATTTAAATTATATTTACGCTTATTAATATTATGATATACAAAATATATCAACTGAAACTATAATGAAAATATATTTTAAAATAACTCATTAAAAATATTTTTATATATCAATGCTTTTTAACATTTATATTTTAAAATATTTTTTAATTATTTTGATTTAACCATAATTACTTATTTCAAATTAAAACTAAAATAAATTAAATGATGTATTTATCCTCTTAAACATTCAAAATAGACAATAAAAAGATATATATAAATAGTTTTAAAATAAATTATTATTATATACGAAGTATATCAATTTAAACTATAATAAAAATATAAATAAATATATATAATGGTAATAAAAATACATTTTTTATAACTCACTAGTAATTAGGAGTGTTCAAAACCGCATACCCAATTTTTCAGGGTAGTATATTTTTCGGCTCGTGATTTGGCCCGTTAAGTCCGAGTACCCGGTAGTCAGGTACTCGTAAAATTTGGGTACTCTTTTTTCAGGGTCATCGGTATCATGTTCATCTATTTTTTATTTTATTTAAAAAAAATCAAATAAAAAAATTTAAAAGTTTATTATACACAATCCATACAAAAAAATTAGTGATTTAAACTTTTATATATATATATTGTCGGGTAGGGTCGGGTACCCGGTTATAAAAAAATTTCGGCCCAAACCGACCCAACTACCCAAAAAAATCACGGGTTGGTACCGGATTCGATTTTAAGTTTGGGTCGGTAGGTCAACGGGCTGGGTCAACCAGGTCGGATATATAAATAATAAATTTTATTTATCTTTACGTAATTAAAATAAATTATTAACCAATAAATTATTTTTTAAGAATATTTGTATTAAATTATTGAAATAAAATGTAAATACATAATTAATGAAGTAAATCGAATTTCAGAGTTTTTTCCTTGACAAAATGAAAAAGTCAAAAATCTCAATTTTTTTTATTGAAATTACTTTTAAATAACATTACCAAATGTAGCATGCGCAATGTCATACGGTATCAGCTGAACACGTCATATTGATAATATGAAGAAAGTCTCTTTGTCGCAACATTCCGAATAAAATAATTATATAGTTATAGCACGAATTTGGCTGCACAAATTTATAATACCACCAACAATACAAGGGTGGGACACGTTTTAGTACATAATTAATTTATGTTAGGTTCAGTGATAAATGTGAAAGCGGCTGCTCTTTTTTCTGTACCTTAAATGCTCCATTCAAACTTTGCTCTCATCTGGATGGTTATATCAATTCAATTAAGATTTTTAATAAAATAAAATTTCTGTTGTTAAAAAATTAAATACTTATTAATTATTCAGTTAATTATTAAAATAAAAAATTAAACTGTTAAAGACATCTAGAAATATCAATAACAGCATCGTGAATATAATACAATGAGTTGTAAAGATTATTTTTATAATATATCCTTTTTAATGTTAAAATTAGATTTATTATTTCATAAATCAAATATTAATAGTTATATGAAAAGAATTAAGTATTTTAAAATATTCCATTTGAATATTATTAAAAAATTAGATATAATTAAATTATTTAATAAATTATGTAGTAAATTTTAAAAATTTAAAACCTGACGATATAAATAGAGTAAATTGTATTAGGATGATCGTCTCTATAGTAGACCTATGTAATATTTGATAGGCAGTTATACCAAAAAATAATTTTACAAGATAATCTGACTTATTAAACAAATATAATAGAAACATAAATTAAGAGATCTCAGTGGTTAAAGGGATAATAATAAATCTTAAATTCAAACACTAACAATTACAATGTATTTAAACATTGATGATTTTTATATTTTTACTTATATTTTTAATCAATTCAATTTAATAAAAAAATAATAGAATAGTGAAAAGAACGGGGACAGATGAATGACAGGTATATATAATAAAAGCATACAGTAATCTTTCCATTCTTACTGCAAAATAATAAATTAGCTAATCAATGTACAAGAATTTCTAATAGAATATTGTGACGATGCAAAATATATCTAGAAGGAAGGCGGTGAGGGTCAAAGAGCGACAGTCCCAAAGACCAGAGAAAATCGTTTTGGGTTTTGATTATTGGGGTGTTTGGGAAGGGAAACTTCATTAGTCAAACTTTATTTATAATACAAGACTGGCAACCATAAACTCTCATACCCATCTTCTTTTTTGTATTCTCTCTTCCCCCTTTCTTCTGGTATTCTTCCCTTCTCCCTCTCTCATTTTGGTTTATTTATTAGATTCAGTTCCTTGTATGTTATTTATGTTTGTCTCAGTTGTTTTACGAGATATTTTTTACTATTTTATACATGAGATGAGATTTTGTAGTTGATGTTTTGTTCTTTTAGAATATAATTTATCCTCTGTTTGGAAGGGGAGAAAGAGTAGGGAAATGCAAAGAATCTTGTTGTTCTAAACTTTCTGTTTTCTGGGATTTCTTTTGGTCTTCTTTACTTTTTTTTTTAACTTTTTGGTTTTGATTTATTTAAATTAACAAAAGGCCAAAAAGTGTTTTTGGCTCTTATTTCTTGGAGAGAAACGGTTGTTGTTTACCATATTTCGTTCCCCTTTACCTAATCATAATAATTTTTATATACTCGATCTTTTCTGGAAGATCGTAATGATTTCTCATGCTTCGTACTTTTCAAGTTCTTTTTTATACTTGTTACTTTTAGATTGAACTTGAATTATCTTTATAAATTTTGAAATGGGTTTTGGCTCTAAGGTAATTCGATAAACGATCAAAGAATTGGTGTATTATAAAGATTCTGACTAAGAAATGGAAGATCATAGCAATCTATGATCTTCGAGCATACTATTCAATGGCATGAGATAGCTTTTGGTGAGTTGGATTTGTGCTAATTTATTTTGAGTTTCTTATACAGGTAAACTCGGAATCAACAACGAGGAGATATGGATGAGAATAGAAAAGCACACCAAAATTGTGCTAATGCTGCTAATCCCTACCATGAATGTGGTGCATATTGCCTAGAAAAGATTGCTGGTGGCAAGGGATATAAAGAAAAGGACAAAAAGATATTAGGTAATCAATCTTTCACCCTCATGCTAGTTTTTCTCGATTTATCTTTACAAAACATGTTATTCCACAGAATCCCTTGAAGTTGTTCAATTATGATTATTTTTTTGGCATTTTTGAAGATGATCAATTAGTTTTAGGAGTGCATAGGAAAATACCGGAATCCCTTATGCTTCATGAACTGCTGATTCATGATCGACTTGACATGATTTATGCAAGGTGGATGATTGAAATATAGTTAATGGTTTAAGAAAACAAATAAAAGTTTATGTGTGGAACTAATTAGTTGAAAAAGTGAAATTATTTAAAGCAGCGTTGTGTTTCGTGGATGCAGCAATCAGCATCCATGTAGAGGAGGTTTCGTCTATCTTTTATAATGTCACTGAAGAAAAAGCAGAGACCATGAATCTAGAAAGGATAGCTTGAATTGTGTGATAGAAAGTATGGAAAAGGAACGTGCCATTTTATGTATTTATTGGCTCGACCTGAGGGAAAAGATATATGTATTTGGAAAGTATCTTTGTTTCCGTAACAAATGCAGTTTGGTTGAGTATGAAGGATATATGTTTTTTGTATACCTGAAAATTAAGGTCCCTTTTGTTCTTGGCTGATATAGACATGTTAAGTCTAACCTAGAAACTTTGGTTTTGTTAGGTTATCTCAATGATATAAGCACAAGGTAAGAATCAAAGTTTTGCTAATCTCTTTCTAAGAATGGGTTTTCGTCTTGAATTGTTAGGTAACCGCTATGGTACAGGAGAAGCTGTGCATAACAAAAGGACTAATGATGGGAACAAACGCAACCAAATTGCCTTAAAGCATCTAATCCTTACCATGAATGCGATGAAAATTGCATCCAGAAAACTTCCAAAGCTGCTACTCTGGGGATTGGAAAAGAATCAGGTTTCCAATCGTGATTAAAAGTTACTTTATTTTGTTGATCTCCTTCTAAAACTAGCTGTCTCTGTCTTTTTATATATTAGATAATCGCAACGGTATAAAACAAGATGACTCTATCAGAAAGAATGACAAGGGACTAGTGCACCAAAATTGCATAAAGTCATCAAATCCATACCACAAATGTGATGAAAATTGCTTCAAAAGAAGTACAGAGGCCAAAGCAGAATCAGGTTTCTGATGATATGATTTAGAGATTTGTTGTATTTGGACATGGTTAAGATATTCTGTTTCGAGGTAATTTTAAGTCGGATACACTTTTGAGATGTATCTCCACAGGCTTGGTGACATCTAACGACTTGATTCTCCCTCGAGATGTATGATTTCTTTCAACTTGCAAAATTCGCTGTTATATTTTCATGACTACAGTCTTCTCATTGTAGGTTCCAAATTCGTTGATGCTTCCAGAAGCTTTGACCCGAAAAAGAAGGGATCTGAGTCTCAGCCGAAATCCTCTCGAGCACTTGAGATTGCTCCTGCCCTAGGTGCAATTTACCATGGTGACCAGGAATCCCTTCAGTCTCATTTATATAGGGAGAAGATGGAAGAAGAGAATGGTGAGTCTTCTTCTTCTTCTGAGCGACACTCTGAAGCGATTTATTCCCAAGATCAATCTTCCGACAAGGCCCAAATTCAGTACTCCCAACCATTGCCTATCTCTGGCAAAATCACGGTTGGTCCCTCACTTTTTTCATGAACTCGCAAACCCTTACATGTGAAAGTTTAGTAACTCCCACATTTTTATACATGTAAATCCCCTCCTCTTTGGCAGTCTCCTGGTGATGCACCAGCCAAATATGAAGCAAAGAAGGTTCTAAATTCCGCAAAGGTAAGTTCAGATGCAAATACCGAGGATGCAAAAGAAGATGCGACTAGCTCAACCTTTAGTTTCTCAGGGATCATTCGAGCTTTAGCAGACGGTGATCAGGAAGATGTCAAATCTGTTATCTCTGATTCATGTGTATCAGTCGGAAAATACCATGTGAAAGAAAGCCTCTCCTCGACCCTACAGTCAATTCTCGATAAACATGGAGACATAGCAGCTAACTGTCAGTTGGAATCGGCTTCTATGCGTGCATATTATTTAGAGTGCTTGTGTGCTGTAGTTCAAGATCTGCAGTTCACTTCGTTCAAGCAACTGACCAAAGCAAAAATTAAAGAAATGTTTGCTGTTCTCAAGGATGTTGAATCTGCCAAAATTGATGTTAGTTGGTTGCGTGGTCCGCTCAATGAAATCTCGGAAGCCGTTGATCTTGTTAGTCAACCACAAACTTTTGAAGCCAAAAAGGCAAAGTATGAAAGTTCTTTAGAGTCGATAAAGAAAGAACTGGAATCTCAAATGGAAAATCTAGCTGAGAAAGAAAAGGAGGCTGCCGATGCTCAGGAACAGGTTGCCAAGACCAAGGCTCATTTGGCTGACATGGAGAATGAATATTCTCAGCTGGACAAAACTCTTTCGTCTATTGCAACTATCACGGAGAAGTTCAGGGGCAAATCTCTGACAAGTGAGTTCCTTTGATGGCGATCACGAATAAAGACGGTACATTAGTATTCGAATACCAGACACATTGCTTCTTATACTCGATAGTGGCATCAGTAGTTTGCATAGGCAATTATATATAATCTGATACTTGGCTTTAAGGAAGAAGTGTAGTGGTCGGTCTTAGACCCGATACTTGGTTCATAAAAATGGGTTGCATAACCTCAATCCTCATGGACATTTGATTATATATTTGATTTGTATTTTGAAATAAAAGCATATAGGACAGGAAATGAATCGAACGTTCAGCGAATTGTTCGGCGTGAAGTTCGTTTATGTTCGTTTATTTATTAAACGAACGAACATGAACAAAATTTTTGTTCATTTAATTAAATGAACGAACACGAACATATGACTCGTTCGTTCATTTACTTTCGATAATATATTCATTTACTTTCGATAATATATTCATTTATGTTCGTTCGTTTATGTTCATTTATGTTCGTTCGTTTATATTTGTTTATGTTCGATCATTTATGTTTAGATCAATTTCTTTAGACTCGTTTAAAATATTAAGGCCCAATAAATTTTAATTTGATACCCATTAATATTTTAAAATTTAATTAATTTTAAATATAAAAAATCCAAATCAATTAAATACAATTTAATTATAAAGTTGCAACTTGCAACGTATACTAATGAATTTTATATAATTATTGTTGTTGCGGTTTATGTTCGTTTACGTTTGTACATTTATGTTCATTTGCGTTTGATCGTTTGTGTTCGTTGACGTTCGTTTATTGTGTTCATTTACATCCGTTCGCTTATGTTTATTCATTTGTGTCCGTTTATCATTTAAATGAACGAACATGAACAAACACGAACAAACTACATTCTTTAACGAACGAACACGAACAAGAAAATTTTTGTTCGTTTATGTTCGTGTTCGTTCATTTGTTATGTTAAAGTTAAATTAACGAATATGAACATACTTATGTTCTTGTTCGCTCAATTCGTTTACAGGACTAAAAGCAGGCTGAAGTTGACTTGACCCGGTTTTGGTTCATGGTGTTGGAGGAGATAATTAATATGCCAATTCTTTCATGTGGCATGCAATAATGCTTGTTTGACATTGTAAAAACGGATTCGGGACTTTTGTAGAGAAGATACGGAAGAAATACAACAATAACAAAACTTTAAAACCTACAGGTAAAAACATCATAACCTCTAATATTCTTATAACAAAGTAATCAATAGTTTATAGAAAAAAAAAAGGTGAACTATACAAATGGTTATTGACGTTAAGAGTAAAATGTTTTCCCCTTTTGATAATTTAAAAGTAACGATTTAGTTATTGACGTTATCGATTTAATAAGTTGATCACTTATCATTAACATCTGGTATTGGGATAATAAAACGGAGAGTTTTGAATTAAGATTAAAAGAGGATGAACCAAAAATAATTATATCATTGATGAAAATTAAGTTGAATTTCTTCAATTTTGTCACTTTTTGAGAGCATGAGAGGGTAAAATATTGAGCATTTAGCTCATCCTCCCCATTTCCTTCATCTTTCCTTTATCCTTCTTCCCTCTCCCAAATCTTCAATAGGAACCATAATTCCCAAGAGTTCAAAAAGATCATTTTTAGTGTCTAAATCATCATTTCGGGTTGAAGAAGGTAAGATGCTGATCTTATCTTATAAGCTTTAAGAAATGCTCCACATCTTCCATAAAAGATGATGTAAAACAAGCTTGGAATTTTATGAGGGTTTTAGTCATTGGGATATTATAAGTTTCATCCATGACATTCTCATCTTTCTAAATTCGTTTTAATGTCTCTCTCAATCTCTTTTTGATGCTTGTTTGATTAGTAAAAGGAAGGAAAAAGTGGAAATGAACTACTCAATAAGCCTATTTTTGTGATTTGAACTAAGATAATATACTTTACACTTTATGGTAAACTATAAGATTGGTCACTTTCGTATTAGTTTTGTACATCTTTTCTTATTGGATTCAAAAAATATAATATTTGGGCACTTTCTTTTTTATTTAACTAAGATATGATCATGTTCGTTTTTATTTAATTAAGATGTAGTCACTCACCTTACCAACTTTTAAATGTTTACTTACTGAAATTTTGACTGCCATTAGTAAGGAAAAGTGAGGAAATTAAATGAAAATGACCACGTCTTAATTTAATAAAAACGAAAGTAGCCAAATATTATGTTTTTCAAATTTAATGAAAAAAAATATAAAACGAATACGAAAATGATCAATCATGTAATTTACCCTAAACTTTACAACGCTTCTTGAACTTTATAGATGTGTGCTTTATTTGTTGGTTTAATGCATGTTGATTGTTTTAAATATCAAATATATTAATTGATCAAACGGATGAATGTTTTGTTAATCATGTGTAAAAATGAGAATACATAACCCTACATAATCCTACACTATAGGGAAATGGTGATTGGATTGTCAGCCATTTTTCTTAGTTTCTGCTTTCACATATGATGATATGATCAGTGATTTGCTGTTTTTTACAGGTTTGAATGGTTGATATTCTAAAGGACAAATTATGTCCTTCCAAACCCGAAAGGACTTACCGTTTTGCTTTTTAAATGCATCCGGCTTTCAGAGAATCTTGTAATTGGCTACTGAGATTTGTCTTCTAATCTCCATTTTTTATTTCTCCAATGCTTCTAGTCTGTCCAAATCATAAGCTCTGAATACATAGTTTCTCACATTTTTCAAACTACAATACCTAAACCCCATATCTCAAATTTTGCTCTTTCTTCAATACAAAAAGATGGGGCTGTTTTTCACTTGTGATCAGTTTTGATGCTGATGGCTTTGATCACTGTCTGCACTCTATCAGGCATCAAGCAACTCCCATTCTTCGTTTCTTAGAATTCTCATTGAGATCAGATGTAAGTAACAATTAACGTTTCTTACTGGTTTTGCAGATTGTTATGATCCTTTGGATCCCAATGGGAACATCACAGTTGTTTTTTACATTAATCAATGGATACCAGAAGGCTATCTGGTCAGTATGCCATTGACAATCGCTTGAAGATTTCATTTTCAAATCATTTACTATCTGATTCTTCAGGGCGCATTGGTTTATAGGCAAGGGTAACAATTCAGAATTACTATCAATATCGCCATGTTGATGAACCTGGTTGGACATTGGGTTGGACATGGGCTAATGATGAGATAATCTTGTCTATGTCCGGCACTTTCGCGACCAAACAAGGGAATTGTTCGTCGTTCAAGTCGCAAACTGCACCTCATTCCTGCGAGAAAAGCTCCGCCATTGCTGATCTTATGCCGGATGCCTTACCAGACACAACGACAGATGATTGTTGTCATGTTGGACTTCTTGCTGCTTGGGCCATAAAAGCTTCTAAGTCTTTTTCGTCATTCTAAATGAGTATCGGAAACTTGGGGGAGAATCCGAAAGTGCAAGCGCCAATCAATCTTACTTTAATGGATCCTGGTCCTGGTTATACTTGTAGCTCAATTGAAGAAGCTGATCCCACAGCTTATTCTGATATTGGGGGTAAAAGACAACTCCAAGCTTATAGTTAGTACACAGTTCGACTTTATTACCATCCATTTCATTCACTAAATACCCGTATTCGACACTCTCACTCGACTCCGAGTAACAAGTTTTCTTCTGTTTGCCAGCAACATGGAAATCAACATGCACTTATTCCAGCTTTGTTGCCAATCCGGCACCTGTATGCTGTGTTTCACTCTCAACGTGTTACAACCCCAAGATCACATTTTGCCCTGATTGCAGCTGTGGATGCAGATAAAAACACAGTTTCATGCATATGGTGGGTTAAATCGTCTTTATCTGTAATCCAAAACCATAGTTTCCTACCTTCAGCACTCATCTTCTGTTTCTTCATGCAATGCCACCAGAGTAGGTTACGGTGCCGGAATCGGATTCATTCGATAATCAATATATAGTGCAATGCACCGATCATATGTGCCCTGTTCGAATTCACTGGCATGTTATGAAGAACTACTTCACACACTAGAAAGTGAAGCTGACCATCTCAAACTACAATTACAAAAGAAACTACTCAAACTGGAATGTGCTGATTCAACATCCTGGATTCAGTCAGAGTACAACAGCCTATAGCTTTAACAGTACAATGCTTCCCTCTTTTGGAATCTCGGGTACTTGTTTTGTAACCAAATATTTTGATTCAGTTTCCAATATTTCTTGCAATGACCAGGGTTGATATGGGAGGAACTGTTGCAGATGAGGTTGCTCTATTTTGGGGGATTTCGTACTATAATGAGGAGCTGATTAGTGCTGATGAAGATGAACCTGGTGCACTGTCCACACAGATTTTACCAAGGAAGGATTTGGATTCCTTCACACTTGGGAATGGTTGGGCGTTGCCTCGAAGAGTGTATTTCAATGATGAAAACTGTCAAATGCCTCTTCCAGACACTTTCCCCATGCTACCAAATCACTGCTCCAGCTTGCAAAATACCAGACCAGTTTTTCTTCTTTTTATCTATCCGACTTTCAAAACATTTGCTATCTGGCTTTGATAAATAAAAGGGTTTCATGTCAAAACGAGCATCCCACGTTTATCCAAATGATCATTCTAGTCACATTTTGTTTTTGTTTTTGCATTTTAATCCAAATGTTTTAAAGCTTTTATCAAAATAATTTTTATAAGATGGAAATTGTTAGTTGATTGAAGATTAATATATATTATTGATGTGATATATACTTGTATTTAATTATTGATGTGGTACATGTCACATTATTACTCTGATTGACGTGATACATATCACGTCATCACTTTAAATAACATGACATATAGACGTGAAATGTCAACCGGAACAAAACTAGGATTGAAAATTGAGAGGGACAAGTGACTATTAAATATTTAAATAAAAAAATTGAGAAGAACAAAACTCTTAATTAATATATAAAGTGCCTAAATGTTATTATATCAAAATATTTGAAAGGTACAATAGTCCATACAACAAATGGCTTTGTCCCTGCATGTCAGCAATTCAACGCATGTAAAAATACCACGTTAATAATCTATTTAAATTTTAGTTAACTAACAGTTTTCATTTAATAGTGATCATTTTGATCAAGTGGCATAGATAGAGAGATCACTACTAAAAGTAGAATAAGAGTTAGAATGATAATTCGAATAAACATTAGAGGTTAATTTTGCATTATACCAAATAAAAGCTCTCTATGAACTTTTGAGTCATCTTGATGCATTCAGTGTGAAAGGGTGGAGCATTTGCCATATAGCCAAGGCTATAATTCATTGTAAGGTATGAGGGTTTTTTTTAACATATTTACAAAGACTCCACCAAGTAAATTAAGGTGGCGTTTGGTTCGCTGAATTGTTTATGAGGGAATTGAAATCTGTGAAAGAATTAGAATATGTAGGAATTGGATTCCAATTCCATATTCTGTTTGGTTCGCAGACATGTCAGATGAATTTGATTTCAGTAATGTAAAATGACATAATTGTCCTTCTTATTTTTTTTACTTTATTTTAGTTTATTCTACAACTTACATGTAGTAATATATCATAAAAAATTAAAAAATATTAAATTTTCATTTTATTGATTGATTATTCATTTCAATAAATTATAAAAATCATGCTAATAAACATTATAAGTTAAAATCATCGCAATCGAAATATGTTAATAAGTTACCAAAAGATAGAGCAATATTTCGATACATTCTAATCGGAGTATAATTAGTTATTAAAAAATATACCAAAAACTATTTTTATTCAATATATAAATTAGAAACTCGACCCGACATGACTCAAAATAATAAAAAAATTATTTTTATTCAATAAAAACATTTACTTAGTTGAAAAAATATATATATAGAGGGGTATTATTGTAATTATTCCTAAATATATAAGGTGAAATTATATATATTTTTCGGGTCGGTCCGTTTTTTTCACCCTAAATCCGAACCCGACCTAACCCGAATATCACACTTAAAAAATCCGACCCGACTCGACCCGAATATCACACTTAAAAAACCGACCCGAACAAAATAAAGTTTCATCTTACCCGACCCGAATATATGAATTAGAAATCCGACCCGACCCGAAATAATAAAAAATTATTTTTATTTAATAAAAACAATGACTTAATCCGACCCGACCCGAATTATATATATTTTCGGGTCGGTCCCGTTTTTTTCACCCTAAACCAGAACCCGATCCAACCTGAATATCACACTTAAAAAAACCCGATCCTCGACCCGAATATCACACTTAAAAAACCTGACCCAACCCGAACAAAATAAAGTTTCATCCGACCCGACACGAATATATGAATTAGAAATCCGACCCGACCCGACCCGAAATAAAAAAAATTTTATTTAATAAAAACAATGACTTAATCCGACCCGACCCGAATTATATATATTTTCGGGTCGGTCCGGTTTTTTTCACCCTAAACCCGACCCGACCCGACCCGAATATCACACTTAAAAAAACCCGATCCGACCCGACCAAAATAAAGTTTCACCCGACCCGACCCGAATATATGAATTAGAAACCCGACCCGAAATAATAAAAAAAATATTTTTATTCAATATATGAATAAGTTACCAAAGGATTGATGAGGGTAGTATGGTCAAATTTCAATTCCCTCCAACAAGGGAATTGAATTCCATTAGGGATTCCAATTCCCTTGAAAAACTTGAACCAAGCATGGGAAAGTGATGGAATTGGATTCTAATTCCCATCAATTCTAAGAGATTCCATCCAACCAAACGGCACCTAAATGAAGGGTTTTGCAATAGAAATACAGTAAAAAAGCAGATTTAAACCTCAAACCAAACCTCCAACCGACGGTTGTTAAAATCAAGAGCACGAAGTTCTTGCTTCACAACGACCCTTTCTCTATATAATAACAACGGCACCTTTTACATTTTCACTACTTGGAATCAACAATCCACAACTCCCTTTGAGCTTATTCTAAAAAAATGGGATTGAAAATAATATATATACCGCAGCATACGAGAAAACTCAGTAACGCTTCAATTGAAAGCAAAACAACATGGGGAGTGAAGAAGAACCACAAGAAGGATTCTCGAAGATGGTGAACCCTGGAAAAGCCACAATCCTGGCTCTCGGCAAGGCTTTCCCTCACCAGCTTGTCATGCAGGAGTTTCTGGTTGATGGCTATTTTAAGAACACCAACTGCGATGACCCCGATCTCAGGAAGAAGCTAACCCGACTCTGTAATGCCGTGAAACTTCCATCTCTACCACTGTTGATCCATTTTTTTGGTCTTAACTGAAAACAAAAGTTATTATTTATTAACACGTTTCCATGCATTTTGGGTCCTGACAGGCAAGACAACTACTGTTAAGACAAGGTATGTGGTGATGTCGGAAGAAATCCTGAAGCAGTACCCTGAGCTTGCCATTGAGGGACTCCCTACTGTGAAGCAGAGACTGGATATCTGTAACGATGCGGTGACGGAGATGGCCGTTGAAGCCTCTCGAGTTTGTATCGAGAAATGGGGTAGGCAGATATCAGAATTAACGCACTTGGTGTACGTTTCCTCGAGTGAAGTTCGGCTGCCTGGTGGTGACCTTTACTTGGCCAAAGGACTAGGACTCAGCCCCGACACTCAACGCGTGATGCTCTATTTCATGGGCTGCTCTGGGGGTGCTGCTGGCCTTCGTGTAGCAAAAGACATTGCTGAAAACAATCCTGGAAGCCGGATCTTGTTAGCTACTTCTGAAACTACAATTATCGGTTTCAAACCGCCAAGTGCGGATAGACCGTATGACCTGGTCGGTGCAGCACTTTTCGGCGATGGTGCTGGAGCTATGATAATTGGCTCTGATCCAGATTTGAGCATCGAGATACCTCTCTTCGAGCTTCACACTGCAATCCAGAATTTCCTGCCTGATACCGAGAAGACGATCGATGGGAAATTTACGGAAGAGGGGATTAGTTTCAAGCTTTCAAGGGAGCTTCCTCAGATAATTGAAGATAACGTTGAAAGTTTCTGTGAGAAACTAATGGGAACTGTTGGATTGACTGACAAGGACTACAACAAGATGTTTTGGGCAGTTCATCCTGGGGGGCCTGCGATCTTGAACCGAATCGAAAAACGACTAGATTTGTTCCCACAGAAACTAACTGCCAGTAGAAGAGCTTTGATGGATTATGGAAACGCTAGCAGCAACACGATTGTGTACGTGCTGGAATACATGATAGAAGAGAGCTTGAAGAAGGAAGAGAACCGAGAAGAGAGTGAATGGGGCTTGATTTTAGCTTTTGGACCAGGAGTTACCTTCGAGGGTATTCTTGCAAGAAACCTGACAGTATAAGAATAATGTCGTCTTCTATTTTGAAAAAGTTGCATCTTTTACCATAATATCATACTGAAAATCAGTCCTCCTATGCAATGGGAGACCTTAATCAATTCAAGTTTCACAAGGAATCTATGTGAAAAGTTCGAACTCTTAATCTACATAATCATATTTATTTCCTTATACTCTGTGAAAGTGAAGATTTGTATGCCTGTATTAGAGAAAAACACATCACATGTAGGAATAGTCTATAACAATTAACTTCATATAAGCAGAAGATTAGTATTCGACGCCGAAAATTAATCCATTTATGCAATGTTTTATTAATAAATATCCACCCAAATCTTCTACACCCCCAAATTTACAAACAATCCGCTAATTTTCAGTCATACGAAATGTGTCCTGAGAAAAAAGCAGAACTTAAACAAGGATACAAGTTAGAACTTTCTTCCCGCAGCATGCTCGTCGACCAAAGCAAAACAGCATCTTCACTTATACTACTCCAGAAGGAAGACGGAGAACAAGCTGCCCTCCAAAGACACTGCAAAACATAATGGATTATATAAGCAAACATTAACGGACATGAGGTTGATTATGGTATTTAGTTATACTTGTATACCACACATTATAATGTTAATGTAACCAACCTCTTGACATAATAGTAACAGAAGTCCGCTAAAATGAAAGTTTGGACAATTTCCGATATAAGAACCATCGAAGGCCACAATCCGTAACCCAGGGCTACCAGCAAATGTCCTCGACTGTCTAAAACCTGTTGAAAGCAGTGGCAATGAATTAATATCATAATGTGATTGCCCTTGTAAAAATTCACAACGCTTCTTCAACCAGCATCATGCAAAAATTTTCCCCTACATGCAGAACTACTTATGTTAACATAGAATGTAGCTAATTGAAATGACATGAATGAACATCAAGAACTTATCTTAAGCAATATGCAATCAGTTCAACCTTCAGGATCATTCATCAAGCAGACTCAAGTAGTCCATTATTTCCCATGTTCTAAGAACCGCGATGGTGGTCAAACTGTTTATATCACCAGCTTCCGGTTCAATAATAATTAATTAAAAAATTAGAAAACTATTAAAATAAATAATTAAAAAATGGTTTAACCAGTTGAACCACCGGTGTTTGACCCCAGTTTCAAAATTTCCACTTATAACCCACCAGTTTAACCGGCTGGTTCGATCCAGTTCTGACAACCATGATTATTTAAAAAGAAGATAAATTTTACCGACAGACTGGTATCCATTTAATGCTCCAACTGTGCCTCAATTTAAAATCTCCTGAACTTTAATAAAAAAATTGACCGAAACCAATCACATTCAACTTCTGGGCACAAGATCAAACCTGAAGAACCCAGTGAGCACAGCTGAGGAACCTTGCAACACCCAATGCAAATACATAATGAGCTGTGAAAGGCTCAACAATCTGAAAGCACAAAAAAGAAGATGAATTACAGATGGTAATCTTATAAATAAAGGTTCTAATTGTTTATCTAGCATTCAAGCAATTTATACCTTAGTATTTTGCATCACTCGCAACTGGGGTAAAACTGAAACAGCTTCTAGATACACACAGAATGCCCAGAAAATGCGGTTCACTAGATTATGAGATGTTGAGGGATGAATAAATAGAGCCAATACTGCACATGGGACAAGCTGCATTCAAATTCAAATGTCAGGATATGACTCCAGAACATGTTCAGAAAAAGAATCCACTTGAGCAACAAAGAAGATAATTGTACAGTCAGTAATTTTCTTCAATTGGTTACATGATCGTATCCATAAATCAAAATACAAAGGATGAGGTACATGGTGACTTTTGTGGTGGAATTAGAAACAAACAGCAATAAGAAAATCGAAGACCAATAATAACTCAATAGACACTTAGAAGATTAGCAATGATTTAAAGAGCAACATGTGGGGGGTAGATTTCTTATTTTTCTAATTTGTAGATCTGCAAGCCAATGGAAAACACTGTCATGTAATGGAGAATAACATTAGCAATCTGCCTCCGTAAGCAAGGCTAGCTGTTTCATGTTACATACACCTCCGTTGATAAAGAGGAAAAGCACAAGCTCTACTGCAAACATAACCATCTCTTGACTACTAAAACATGAAATACAGGAGACAAAACTGGTACAATTCACTTCTAGATCCAGCAATACATAGGACAGGGCCGCATATATAGTTACATATAATTCCAAGTAAAGAAAAAGTTGATATGACGGAAGAAAACTCACAACATAATATAAAGCAAAGTTGTCCTTCTCTTCCATGTAGCTGGACTTTAGTTTGAAACGGATCATATAAATAACCCATAAAGTTGTACCCAATGTGGCCAAATCAAGAAGGGTATGGATATCATATTCCATGACAAAGCTACAATACAACCTAACAGCTAGAAAGATAGCTGTTAGTTCCTGGGATTTAAGCGATAGTCCTGCAACCATTCAATTTTTTTATTGAATGAGTAAAACCAATAAAAACTTTCTTTAAATATTTAACCAATAACGGAATAACCTAGAGCTAATTAATTCATTCATTTAAGTAATGTAAGCAGGTGACCAAAATTAATAGGCACACAACATTTTAACATCAAACAAGTATTATGCAGGCTAGGATTTTCACTTATGTGCGTGAGAGAAAAAATACTTTTGCACCAAAAGCATCTATTTATCAATCATTCTAGCAAGCCAACACTTAGGGAAAACACTAAAAATAGCAAAAGCTACTCCTACAGAAGAATTCGCATATTACAGAAATAGAAACAGTGAAACTCATGGAATTCCTCAAACTAGTAAAACTAACAAAGAAGCGCTTGGGCATACAAATTACCATAGGATAAAAACATACCAATCGTATAAAATTCATGAAACTTGTGAGACAAACAAAAATTCATGAAACTAGTGACACAAAGTTGCCAAACCTAAATCAGTAAAATTTTGCATATTGATTATCCTTCATGAGTTTTTTGAATTACTAAATTAGGGGGGGGAAGCACCCATGAATGAAATTTAAGCTAAAAAAACAAAACAAAACCATTCTAATAACAAAATCTAGAATTTCTGCATTGAGAAAAAAGAAACTAAAGCTTTATTCGAAATTACCAGCACAAGTCTTCTCCCTTGTGAGCTTATATATAAGGACAGAGATTCCGATGGAGTGGACAGCCTCAGCGGCGACGAAGAGGTTGTCATGGTCGTGTACGATGAATCGAAGGAGAACAAGCGCTGCCATCCCCGATACGACCGCCAAAAAAGCCTTCACCTTCGGCGGCTGTCTCCTCACCCACATCGACACAGCGTGGATCGGCCTATGATTTGCCCTCATATTTATTCTCTTCTTTTCTTTTTCCTTCCCCGGAGAGAAAGTGGGGGGAAATTTTTGGATTTGGAGAAAGTGGATTTTGTTGATTGTTAATGCAAGTCTTTTGGGGGTTGACGTCAGAGTTATGTTTTCTTTCTACTAATCTAAAGCTTAATTTTTACGAACACGTATCAAACCACTTCAGTGACAACAAAATTTAGGAAAACCTAACGGGTGATCATTAAATTATGATCAAAATTGATTTTAATCATTAATATTTTCATTTGATTAAAAATATTATCCAAATTTTTAAATGATTCAATTAGGTCATATTCCGTAAATTTTAACAGAGATGATGATGTGTTCATTAATAAAATGGCATAATTATTTATTTAATCCTCAATACTTACGTATTATATCAATTTAATTTTAATTTTAATTTAATTTAAAACATTAACCCTCCAATCCGAAGATGCCATTTGTCAACATATTATTATGACATATTTCCAAGTGACATGCGTCACCACACTATTGAAGAATTATTTTTAATTAAATTTGATATTTTAATTAAATAATTTTATCCATCTTTTAAAAGGAAAATAAATTTTGATTGTGCTGCCAAGATCACTATTATTGTGACATATTTTAAAGTGGCACGTGTCACCATATTATTAGACAATTGTTATTAATATTTTAATTAAATAATTTTATCCACCTTTGTAAAGGAAAAGAAATTTTGATTGTGCCACCGGGGGTTTCTAACTAGGGACAATTGGTTCCCTTAAGTAAACCTTAACCATTGAGCTAACTACTACATATGTTATTGTATTGCAAACTCTTATATATATTGTGTTTTCTATTATTGCACACAAACGCAAACACACACACGTGTATATATATATAATTTTTGAAACAAATCTACTAAATAAATTATATTTTTCTCACATATATATAATTATAGATAATACAAGATTTATAAATAAAAAAGAGTTTAATATTTTTATATTTTCATAAATATTTTTAAATAATTATATATGAATTATATTAAAAAATAAAATTATATTAAAGATTCATTAAAGAATTCAAAGTCACAGAAACAACTTAAATCATAAAATAAATTTATTATATGAATCTTAATTATTTATTTTCAAATTAAAAAAAATATTTATCATTTGCTTTATATTTATAATTTAAAAAAAATAATTGTGAAGAAGAAAAAGTTAATTTAATTTGAAAATATAAAAATATTAAAATCTTTTTTATTTATAATAATTATATATGTGTGTGTGAAAAATATAATTTATTTAGTAGATTTGTTTCAACAATTATATATATATATATATGTCTGGAAACACAATCACCATTTTATTTCCTTTACAAGATGGTGACACGTGTCATCACTTGGTTGATAGATAAAATTATTAAATTAAATTAAAATTATTGTGTAAGTATTAAGGAATAAATATATAATTATACTATTTTTATTAACGGACACGTCATCACCTCTGTTAAAAATTAACAGGAAGTGGTCTGATTGAACCATTTAAAAAGTTGGATTAAAATAAATTTTAATCATAATTTGATGGTCATCAGTGTAATTTACTCGAAAAATTATTTTTTATTTTATGATACTCCGAATTCAAGCACCGTAAATATAAAACAGGTGAACGTTCAATAATAAACGTTTAAAAGCATATTTTTAAACATATTTTACATCTTATTACTAAAAAAATCTTGATTTTACAAATGATAAATTAAATAATATTATTTTATTTATTTTTATATAAGGATATGAATTCTATGATGTTTGGTGACCCAAAATTAAACTTACTTGACCCAAAAGAAATGGGTATGGTTAAGTATATGCAAAGTGTCCAACGTTATTAACTTAAATATATCCAATTAAAAATATTTTTTCATTCTAACACCATTTGAAAATTATTTTTTAGTTTAATATAATTTTTAATCACGCAAAATAAAAGTGTATCTTGTAGGACATATTTTCTACCTACATGATAATAATATATGATGGTACTGGACTGAAATGAAAAAAAATAAGGATAAAAAATTATATATGAATTTCATCTAAAAATAAATAAACATATTTAGTCAATGCCACTTAACTCAAATCTCACATTATATATATATATATATTAGTTTTCAAGTATTTAAATATAACTTTTTAAATATGTATTTATTGAGTGATTAAACATGAGACTAATACACGTGTATCACTATTTTCGCCCGACTCGTACTCGTACTCATATAATTATTTGTCTTCTATACATTTCACGCACATTTATTTTTTAACCAAATTCGTATAATTTTTTCATATTTGTTGTCTTTATATATATATATATATATATATATATATATTCAACTCAACATCGAGAGTTTTAATCCTTTTGTGCCATGTAAACAAAAGACGCTATTTACATAAAGCGTCTTCCATGTAAGAAAGTACATTTCATTTACGTTCACAAAAAATATCAAATTAAAAAACAATTTAAAAAGAGTATTGGATTAAAAATATTTTTAAATGAGATATATTTAAAGTAAAAAAAAAAACCCAACTTTACATTCTTGACAATGTAATCAACCAATGCTAACTAAAATTTTGACTTGGCTGGAAACAAAACAGTTCTGCGTATACACTGGCTTGGATGGAGTTTATATCATCAATCGGTTAAACACGGACTTAGCTTACCTTCTCACTTCCCACCACTACACCATTATTTTGTTATGTTTAGGGATGGTGACTCGTGCGAATATATCTAAATTTAAATGTTTTTGATTATTTATTATTCACGTTAAATTTGAATGTTATTTTTCGTTACACTAAATGATTATAAAGTAGTATTGTTCTAAATACTCTCAATCATTTAACAATAAACGATAAATCACCTTGTTGCAGCCGTTGGTGCTCAAACCTGTGATCTCTAAAAAAGATATTGATTCTTTCAATCACTAAGGTAAGTTGGTTTGTGTCGTTAACATTCGAATTTAATAATTTTTATAATTTAAATAACTGAGGATTCAACAAAACAATTTTTTTATCCTTAAATATTTAAATATTTTTATGATAATTTGATTTAGAGAATAATATTATATTACTTTCAAATTTAAATTATAATTTTTTATTGATATACTATGTTAATTACAAGTGGTAGTATTTGTTATATAGACTCTTAACCAGGGCCGGTCCTGATATTTTAAGGGCCTAGGCAAAATAAGAATAAGGCCTTAAAAAATAATTTAAAATTCAAGAATAAATTTCGGTAAACGTCAAACAATTTTTTCATTAAAAATTATACGAGTATATCATATTACATTAACCAACATTATTTTCCAAATCTATAAAGACATCGCAACTTTTCACTCAATTTAAAAAAGCCTTAAAGTTATACACCATCCATGTTTCAAAGCCTTATAGTGATCATTTTAAAAAAGAATATTCATGATAAATTTCAATACAAGGACACAGCTTTTGCATCACCGAGATCAGCATAAATGAATTGAAGCCTTCCGGGTTCTGGAAATAAGTCTTGTAGAACCTTGACGGCACCTATGTTTCCACGTGAAAGATTGTCCTACAAAAGAGGTAAATTCTTCCTTGTAAAACCCAGACCAATCATGCATAAGCTGTGAGAAGATTACAAAAAAGAATGATAGTTCCATATCCTAAACTACAAACATACCACAATAGTTACACGGTATGACCCTCAGAAGTCGTAAAGCAGCATGTGAACCAATATAGCCAGCACCGCCAGTTACAAGAACATGAGTTACGCCTTCTTCGTGTTTGGAAAACTGAAAAGATAGAAGTCAATAAATGTCGGAAGTTGAAAAATACATAACTAAAAATGGTCATTGCTACGGAAACAACAGATGATGATATTAACCATAGGCAAAGGGCAAATGGAACATCCATAATCAAGTGAACATCTTGATTAAACTAAGCCAACAGCAAGCAATAATGAAGTCTAACAAAAATGACATAGGGTCCTTCTATACTTATAGTTAGAACCCCAGAAATATGTTCATACATAAACTATGTAAAGTGAAAACAATAGCGAAGTTAAAATAATTGTTGATTAATGTTCAATTACCAAAGCTAAATAAATATCTGCGTGATAAACATTCGGAACAATCTTTTTATAACTGATGTTCTACAGAAAACAAATAGTCGGAACCATTATCAACCGCTCTTGCGCATTTTAAATTCAGCATTACAGAATAGAGAAGTAAAAAAAGATAGATAGAACCAAGAAGCTACCTGACTTGGAGTACCAAACGTAGGGGATTGCTTGAGCATAATAATGCACAAGGCTGTAAGGGTTGCAGCCATAAGGATTTTTCCTACAAAATTGCTCTTCCTTTTGGGATCATGATATTCCATGCCTACATGCAAAACACAAACAACCATTGTAAATCAGAGAACCTTTTCCCTATCTTTAAATCGTTATAAATGCATTAAGGTGCAACCAAGTCAACTCAACCATGTCTTAAACTGTAGACACAACAAAATACACTTTTTCTACACTCAGTAACAAATTGCTACAAAGATATTGAAAGTAAAGGGTAAACTGTAAATGAAATGAAGTTGTTATCTTTTCCTCACCTCCTTTTTCAAGATTTAAACTTTCTAAATGAAAACTACATGAATAAGTCTCATGACAACGACATTAACAACAACAACTGTCGAAATCATAAATATAAATGAAGAGAAATTGGGTTGGAATTGAAGAAGAGAGATGTTACCAGCAAAAGGCATAGATCTGGTAGACCTTTGCTGGCTTCTTCCTCTAGCAAAATTTAGCATCTGAAAAAAAGCTTCCTAGAACTTGTCTTAAGCTGACAACAACATGAACTTACGCCTCAATTTCAGTAATCAACCAAACACCCTTACTTGGGAATGCTGTTCTGGCAAAACTGCAGTAAAAAGTAAAACAAAAACAACAATTTCTATCACATTTCTGAAATATTATGAGATCCATAAACCAAAAGAAGAAAAAGGTTAAAAATATTCAATATATGGGCACCTCCACCCACTGAATAAAACAACAAAACCCACCGAAAATGACGATATGCAAAAATATTAATCCAAATAAAAACAGATAAATTGATAATCAATCATTTTATTCTAATTTTATTGATCATTAACAAATCCAGAGAGGAAAACCAAGTAAGGAACCCAAATGACCCATAAAAACAAGAAATGAAAAATACCCATCAACAGAGTTCGATCGTTCTCAAAAAGAGCAAGGGAATTCAAAGTCGTCACAAAAAGGTAAATGAAGAAAAAAAACCCAGCTTTAATGGAAGAACAACAAAGAAAAATGAATGGAATTTACCTGAAAATAGAAATCAAAGAACATAAACATGGGTTGAAGGTGGCCAAAAAAATACCAAATGAATAAATTGAGAACCGATCTAATATCACATATATAATAAATACATGCAAATGTACAAGTCAATAATTTTTTCAAGAATGGGCTCTTCAAAACAATTGACGTTTAAATACCCTAACAGTCACCGGTGTTCGAACACAAAGATAACAATCATCATTTTAATCATTAAGATAATTTGGTTTGTATATTTAAATTTTTGTTCTAAATGTATATTTAAAGAGTTTAATCACTAAGTTAATTCGATGTAAATTATTTAAATAATATTAATTTGACTAGTTTTTTCTAACATAAATTAAATGATTTTAATGGCTAGAAGATTTATTATTATCTCTCGAGATCCCTGTTTGAGCACTATATACTATTTTATACTCATTTTAAATTTATAAAAAAAGATATCGCAAGTCAATTTATAACTCATGCTTAATTATGTAGGAAATTTTATTTTCAAATGATTTATTTAAACTACATAGTCTATATAAGCACTTGTGTGTTTGTTCACATTATTAAATTATTTGTTTCTAGATATTAATCGTTTTATAAAGATAGAAGATAGCATATATTTGTTTCATTTTTTTATATTGCATAGAATAATGTTTTGAGTTTTTTATAATATTTTCAATAATTTTCTAGATATTAATCGTTTTTATGATTTTCTCTCTCTCTTTAAATTTGTGGGTTCAATATCAGTAGAAGTAAAATTCTATTTTTCATCCCTTAAATAGTACTTATTCAAAAAAAATTATCATAATAAAAAAAAAAATCAATGAAACTACCTAGGTGATTAAACGGAATACTATTTTTTTCTAAAGATCTCGAATTCAAGCAGCTATGTTTGCATGGTATGTATATGTATATGTTGTCAATGATTAAGAGAGCTTACAAATAAATATTATCTTGTAATTACTCCAAACTATAAAAAAATTCATGAGATATTTTTTTTATTTCAATTTATATCATATTGTACATATTTATTATGATATTTAAATTTACTTTTAAATGTATTTAAATAAAATATAAATTATTAATTATTTAAAATAATGAAAATTAAATATATTTATAATTAATTATTTAAATGTTCGGGTGGAGCCCAATAATGTATCTAGTTTTTTACTATTTTTAGAATTATTTGCGTGATTCTTATTTTAAATTGATATTTAAACTCTTGAGTATTTCAATTTCATCTATAGACTATGAATATAATTCTAAATTATCATCGATTTTTCTAATATTTTAGATTCATCATCAAATTATGACCCTCATTCTAAATTAATGTGCAAACTTTAAAATATTCCAACAATGTCCCCCAAAATCATTCAAAAATTTGGGGGTGAAATTGGAACAATAAAAAATTTGGAGACTAATATAGAGTGGGTGTCATATTTTGGGATTGATTTTAGAATACTAAAAAGTTTGGGGACCTTAATGAGAGTCATAGTTTAGGATTGGAGTTTGAAATTCAAAAGTGTAGAAACTAATTTAAAATAAAAGTTATGATATGGGGATGTTTAAAGCAATTAACTCTATTTTGTCAATACTAAAAATTAAAGGGAATTTTGAACCGATTGTCAAGTATGGGACTTCACCTAGACCCAGACCCAGACCCAGTATGGTTGGCTTATGGAATTATTGGAGTTTGTGGAATTGTACTTTTGTGCCCTAGACTTTTAGGCACCTCTTGTCTGCTACTTATTGGATGAAATTACCAGCCATGAATGATGCTGTACCATCAAACTTCCCAAAACCACCCTCCTGTCCTGGTTTCTCAAAACCACTCTCTTTCTACGTTTGTGGGTTGGGGTGGGGTCCGCCTGATTTTTTATTTATTTTTATCCATTAATTTTGAATTTTTGTATACACAATAACTTAAACATAAGATTTTATTTAAATAATATCAAATTATTTATCACTTGAATGAATTATGTTAATATTTAATTTTAAAATTTTATAATAAATAGGGCCAGCTGGAATTAGTCAAATCAATAATCTTTTTTGATCCTTGTGCATTACTCTTCCAATGGATGTTTTCAGTGCCTTCATCTGGTAGATAAAGGATAATGAGATTGATCGCCCAACCACCAAGCGCTTATGTTCCCACCTTCTCTATTGCATGAACACACATCATTTGCATCCATTAATTACCCCACTTTTATTCTGAAGATCTGAAAAATCAACCAACCTGGGATTTAAGGCCTTTCCCTTTGAAACATCTTCTCAAATCGATCCATCATGGTTCACTGCTATTATGGTCACTGCTATTGCGGAAGATGCCATCGTCGCACCTCAGCTCCTCTGCCGTACACGGTTCTGCTGTTCTTGGCGCTGGCATTGATGCTTCTTGCCTTGTCATCTTTAATCAAATTTGAGATCGATATGGAAAGCGCCGAGGCTAGTATGAATTGGGTTGTTTTGATCGCAGTTTTGGCAATTTTACTCGTTGTTCGATGGTTGTCGGCCGATTCTTGCCGGCGTCCTCGCTACTGCGTTTGTGGAAAATGTTTCACAATGAAGTATTGCTACTGAATCTTCCTTTTCTCATCCCTGGTTTGTCTAATAATCATATGTTATTTGCTCTGTTTATGAGTTCCAATGTCTTTGATGAACCGAATTCACTATCTGTGTGTATATATAAGCTTCTTCTTCAGTTCACTTCTTGAACAAATTTTTGCATCTTCAGATTAAACCAGTTTCCTTTCCATTCAAGACTGGTCAAATCCTTGGGATGAAATGAAGTGTTGTTATGAAACCAGAGTGCCTTATATATTGTGTTTTCTATTATTTCACACAAATATATATATATATATAATTGTTGAAACAAATCTACCAAATAAATTATATTTTAACATATATAATTATAGGTAATACAAGATTTATAAATAAAAATGAGTTTAATATTTTTATATTTTCAAATTAAATTAATTTTTTCATAATTTTTTAAAAATAATTATATATGAATTATATTAAAAATTCATTAGAGAATTTAAAGTCACATAAACAACTTAAATCACAAAATAAATTTATAATATGAATCTTAACTATTTGTTTTCAATTTTTTTTAAAAAAAAATTATTTCTCATTTGCTTTATATTTATAATTTTTTAAAAATAATTGTGAAAAATAAAAAATTATATTTATTATCAAATTGAACATCGGTGGTCAAAATGAGTTTCGACCATAATTTGATAGTCATCCGTGTAGTTTTCCCTTTATTTTATCTTTTTATTGAAATCCTGTTTCGTCACGTTATCTTAACATAAGATCCTGCCTACGCTACTAAATACGAAGTTGAAACCAAAATCCCTATGTTTCGATCTTTTTCTATCACGTACTGATTTCATACAAGGATGTGTTGCTGATAGCAGATATTCTAGACCTTGAAGGTTCTTTTCCCCTGGATTTTGGTACGTCTTCTAATTATTGTCCAATTCTTCCTGATCTTGCAATCCCAATATGCTGCTCTTCAGTTAAAGGATAACGATCTCCACTTGTTTTCTATCGGATTTTAACATAGTGGCTTTACATGGCCATCCATGTTCATGGTTTACCCATAAATCCATAGCAATTCATAATTGGTGAATACAATATGAGTTGTACATGTTTAAAAGTCGAATTATTTATTTAATTTAATATTTTAAAAAATTAAGTCAAATTATTATCTAATAATGAAAATATATACAAGTACAAAATCTGCTCGGTTCGTTGATATTATTATAGGGTATTCTTTTTCCTCCATTTAGGTATAAGAAGATTTTTTAATAAGGTTATTGTTGATGTCATCTTCGGTATGTATCGTTTTGATCAAATAAATACCCGTTTCGAAAAATATATAGCGACTAGTATATATATTTTTTATTAACACAACCTAATTTGATAAAAAAATAATTGATAGAAAATCAATGCTCTCAAATGTTAAAATTCAACATTGGAGATGATAGGTTGGGAGGGTATATATATATATATAAATAGAGAGCCAAGGTTTCCCAAATTAAGAAGCAAATTGGAATTTAAAATAAATTTTAGGATAATAAAAACACTATACTTTAGAAACTCGGTTGATTAAGTTCTGCTGATCCTGGCTTTGACATCAATATTTCTCGGAATATCATGGTACCTCAACTATGACTCTCTCCTGGAAACAGCTGAACAGCAGCTGAGTTGGGTGCTTTTCGCCACACCGGTTGTGATCATACTCTTGGCTCGCTGGCTGTCGTCTATCGATACTGACGATATGTTTCTTTTTGGTTCATCGCCGTGGGAACGACGTAGCCAGACTCACCGTCTTCCTTCGGAGGTAGGCCTGTAAATGAACTGAACGTTCAGCGAACCGTTCATGAACCGTGCGGCGGGAAGTTCGTTTATGTGCGTTTATTTATTAAATGAACGAACATGAACAATATTTTTTGTTCGTTTAATTAAATGAACGAACATGAACATAGGTCTCGTTCGTTCATTTACGTTCGTGAACGTTCGGTTATGTTCGTTCGGTTATGTTCGTTTATGTTTGTTCGATTATGTTCGTTTATGTTCATTCATTTATGTTTAACCCAATCTTCTTAAATCAATTTTGGTGACCAATTTGTAAGTATCTTAAAAATATTAATTAATATGATATTCTGATGACCAACTCCATAATTAATCCAATTTTATTTGGAGACTAAATCCAATATGTTAACCTGTGAGGCACCTCGCACCTATTTTCATTTCCCCCTTTTTTTCCCAAACCCTAGTGTTCACTAGAGAGTGGAGACGATCGCTGAAAGCTTCAAAACAAGTTATATATAGTGCAATATGAAGTTTTACATGTTTGTTTTCATCTCTTTCTCTGTTTTATTTTGGCTTAATAGTTGATATGTAAAGTTATTGCAGGTATCTTCACATCTAAAACTCAAGAAAACATCATACTTCTTTCTAGAAATAGATGGGAATATAAAGATAACAATCGGAAGTATACGAGCATCAGTAAAGAGAAAATATATAGAATTTACCAGAAAACAAAACAAAGGTTTCTATGCCATTTCTGAAAAAGAGTGTAATAGGAGAAAATGATTGTTCATATGTAATCATGGACCACTAAGATAAATGTTATAGCGTTAAATTAAAGTTGTGTGAATCATTTAATATCTTTAAAAGATCGATCGAAATATTTGATATCTTCAAACATTTCATCACTGCTAATCAACTCTTACGCTATTTATCACTGTAGATTTGGTTGATTTGCATTGTCGACTATTTTTCATGAAAGAACAATGGAAGGTAGGGTCTCCAACGTTTATGTTCGTTTATGTTCGTGTTCATTTATGTTCGTGTTCGTTTATGTTCGTGTTCGTTTATGTTCGTTTATTTATTAAATGAACGAACATGAACAAATTATATTCCTTAATAAACGAACATGAACAAAAAAAATTTTGTTCGTTTATGTTCGTGTTCGTTTATGTTCGTCTATTTATTAAATGAACGAACATGAACATACCTCCGTTCGTGTGCGTTCGGTTCGTTTACAGGCCTATTCGGAGGGTAGCTCACCTTGGACCGTGGCTGCCTTCATTGTGGTGGTGTTGATTTTGGTTCGGTATCAGTCAGTCTTTAGTGAGGGTTGGACGGTATGATTATGATATATACTTTATGTAGATACATGGAAAAAAATACTAGTTGTGGATTCTTTTTAGTAAACTGTAACATCCCAATCATCGGGTAGTGACCATAATGTAAGAATTATTAACTCAGTGGTTGAATTAAAACAATTTTATAAATTCAATGATTTATGAATGGAATTTCTGTGTAGGGTTGATTGAAATTTTGGATGAGTGGAAAGGGCATTATGGTCTTTTTATGTTAAAGGATAATTATCTCCCTTTTTAAGGGATAAGCACGTGGAAAGTGGAAAGTGGAAAGTGGAAAGTGGAAAGTGAAAAAATTGAAACCTTTTCTTGCTCTCTTCTTCTTCTTGTCGTAAACTCCGTTAGCAAAGGTAAATTTTTGTAAATATGATGGTTTCTTCAATTTTTGGGTTGGTATTGAAAGTTTGGGTGTTATATAAGTTTAAGGAAGACTTGAATAAGATTAAAACAACAAGAGGAATAAATTAGAAATGAATTTGTAAAATGGGTGTTAAGAGGATTATTGATATAGTGTAGTTTTTGGAGTTCTACAGCTAATTTGAAAGTTCAATAAAGAAACATCTTTTTTTTTAAGTAATAGGATCATCGATATCAGACAGCGGAAAGAGTAACCAAAATTTTATATCACACTCCAACATTACAAGAGTTTAAAACACTTTAAGATTATAGCATCTACACATGTCATGTCCTCGAAAGCAAGTCGAACTCTTACAAACCATCTCCAAAATAATGAAACATCAAATGGTGATTGTTGTTCACTCCCAAGGCTCAAAAGAATTGTTGCAAAATTTTCTGGTTGCTAATCTATATTCATATTGTGAGGAACAAAAAGTCGATGTGAAATTATCTGTTATTGTCTGTGCAGTGTTCTAAATTCTAAACTTGATTTATTAATTACCTGTTGGTGGATTTTTCTTTTTATATCCTTTTTGGGAGAACAGGACCAAGCAATTGCTATTGTCACGGAATTATGTGAAAGTAACAGATTGAAGCAGACACATTCCGAGGTCCAGCAAGTGTGTCTCCTACTGCTTCAAACAATGGAGATGGCCTTGTACTTGGAACTCTGTGTCTTGCAGATTTGTGGAACAAAACCTATGCTAGGACGAGTGGAGGACGTTTCAAAGGAAGTCAAACTATTGACGAAAGGTAATATCATGTTGCTAACATTTTCCTAAGAATAAGGAAACAATTTTTTCTGGAATCATAAACGAACTCCCGCCCCTTTTTTTTGGTTTTTGTATTTGTTTCTGGTTTCCAGCTACGGAGGGGCATGCTTTCCTCAAAGGATCAATGAAGACCCTGAATCAGATAATATCACTCGTCTATCCTGGATTGCTATAACCAAGATGTGTACAGCTGACATTCCCAATGATGTAGTGGATCTTTGTAGGCTTTCAGAATGAGAATCTGTGAGCTCTGTAGATATTCCCGAATGTTGCGGTGATGATGATGATATGCAAGTCTTTATATGCTTAGTATTCTGTTTTTTATACATACACTCTTATGTGATGTCTTTTTCTCACGGCCATTCTTTCTTGATTTCTGACTCCGTGGTGATGATAAAGATGCTCCCCCAGTCATCTTCAATTGTTGTGATTTTAATTATACTTTGATTTTTGTAGTTGAGGTCGACTGCACCCTGCCTCAAAGCGTATAAAATTAGAGGTGTCTATAAAACGGTGTGCATCGGGTGGATGCTTATCCTGAGTAGGATATGGATTTATCAGATTCGCCCTTCAACAAAAATCTGGCCATGGGGTCTTCTTCTTTTAGCTGGTGCTAATTGAATGTGATTTTCCGCTTACATTATGAATTTGTAATGCTGAGAACTGTGATGACCATTATATTTATGTGTAGACGGTGGCTACGAAGCATTTTGAATCTATATCTACACCTACCTCTACGATTGTTTTTTCTCTTGGGTGATTACACCGTCACCCCCATTTTCTTCTCGCTCATATTTTAATCATTGATTTTGAAATTTTCAATTTACTTATTGAACTTTTAAACTACTACTGTTTTTATCACTCTTGAATGGTATGGATTATTTTAATATTATTTTTACTATGATGTATTTTATTAGTTTTTCTACCATATAAGAAAAATAAAATTAAAACCCTAATTCATACCCTCAATAATCCCACTCTACATCACCCACCCATCGGTGGCAATGATCACCCTCAACAATCCTACCCTCATCGGCTGTTGTAACCACCTATGGAAAGGATTGTAGGGTCCCATCTTTTAATCCTTAAATTTCACAATGAAATGCAGCCCGGAGGAAGTATAGAACTTGTCCTGGGAGCAGGTAAACGCACGTGTGGCAAATGTGAGTTTACATTTGTTTGGGTGCCAGTTCCCAGGCTTTTGCAAATACAGGAGCTCTCGCCACTTGTGTCAATAATTTCCCCGAAAACAGGGTAGTGATTTAGGCCTTTTGAAATCTTATGTCGGTTAAAGGGGTGCAATATCGACTCAGTTGTACTATGCTTTTTATATCAATGGCTCTTATTTTGTTAATTGTTTGGCTTCCTGCTGTGTTTTTTTTCTCCCAACGATGCCGATCATAAAAACCGTCCGACGACAAACTAGTGGGTAAACACCATCAAGTGGGTGATTATGGGCCGTCGATAGGTGGGCGAGGTCGACGAGGGTAAGATTGTAGAGGGGGTGGAATATGATTTGTGATTTAGGGTTCAAAATATGATTTAGGTTTAAATTTTATTTTTTTAATCTTGTGATAAAAAATAATAAAATATATAATGTCAAATAAAATTTGTAATAAAATAATCTATGTCATTCGAAAGTGATCAAAATAGAAGTAATTTAAAAGTTCAAGAGTGAATTAAAATATTTTAAACTTTAATGATTAAAATAAAAACGAAAAGATAGTCGAGTGATGAATGGTTCATTTTTGTTTTAAATTAATAAGATTTGAATCATGTTTTTGGTCCATTTTTTTTCACAATGTGAAGAAATCTCCCTCCAACCACGTTAAAGACAAGAAAATATGGTGTATGTTGTTGGTTTTTTGCAAATATCCCACATTGGTTTTGTATAAGGAGGAGGGGAAATTCTTTTGTTATAAATAGAGTCCTCCTCCTCCTTAGTTTAGCATCCCACAAATATAAGTCTTCTTCTATATTAAAGGCTATTTGTATTCTTTCTTTCTTTCTCTTTGTAACATTTTCTCTACTAGTGAAATATTATTTTAGTAGTGTTCGAGGAGGTAGGCATAATTTTGGCCTAACCTCGTTAAATTTTGGTGCTCTCTTTATGTCTATTTAATAGCTATTGTCGGGTATAGTTATTGTTAATTATTGTCCTATTAAAATTACTTGTCTTGGTAGTTCTGTCTAAGGAAAGTGGATTTTAAGAGGGACCATTGTGACCCCTCCTCTTTCCTGGGAATCTACCTTGGGGTGATTTTTAGTACAATCGTTTTCACACTAGTCACCTAGATAATAGTTTTCAAGGTGAATTTGTTATTATTGGTGGAAACTAACCCGAATTCCACAACAATTGATATCAGAGCTCTTGGTTTATTTTAGTATGCTCTGTGGTTGCGGCTTAGACTGATCTTCCACATCATAAAATATTTCCTTGGGATAATTTGCATTTCGCATTGACAACTATTAAATAGAATTTGTAGCAGAAATGGCAGACGCAACAAAAACATCCACATCGTCGTCAACAGCTGTGACAAATGTTATATTTGCAGTGGAGATTTTTGACGGCACCAGTCATTTCGACATGTGGCAAAGTGAGGTTCTAGATGCCCTATTTCAGCAGGGTCTAGACATTGCTATTGAAGGAGAGAAACCAGATGATGTTGAGGAGAAAGAATGAAAGAGGATCAATAGATTGTCATGTGGTACTATTCGATCGTGTCTTTCTAGAGAGCATAAGTATGCATTTTCTAAGGAAACTTCTGCAAGTAAAAAATGGAAGGCACTGGAGGAGAAATTTTTGAAGAAAAGTGGTCAGAACAAACTCTATATGAAAAAGAGATTGTTATGCTTCAACTATGTACCAGGTACCACTATGAATGATCACATTACTATCTTTAATCAGCTGGTGATTGATCTGATGAATATGGACGTGACTTTTGAAGACGAAGATCTGGCTCTGATGTTGATAGGATCACTTCCTGATGAGTTTGAGTATCTTGAAACTACTCTACTTCATGGGAAAGTTGATGTGTCTCTCAGTGAAGTAATTGCTGCCTTGTATAGTTATGAATTGAGAAAGAAAGACAAACAAGAAAACACAAGTGTCGAAGCAGAAACTCTTGTTGTTAGAGGTCGTTCGAAGAGTCAGAATAAACGAAGGAGAGGGAGATCAAAGTCAAAGTCCATATTGAGCAAAGATGAATGTGCCTTTTGTCGAGAAAAATGGCACTGAAGAAAGAATATCTCAGGCTAAAGAACAAAGGCAAACCTGAAAGGGGAAAGGCTGTCTCAGAATCAAATGTGGTCGAGTATGATGATGCAGATTCAGATTTCGCATTCGCTGCTACGCCATCAACCAGTTGTTCCAGTTCATGGTTGTTAGATTCAGCTTGTAGCCACCATATGACCCCCAATAGAGAATGATTCTTTTATTTTAAAGAACTAAAAGGTGGAATTGTCTACACAACAAATAATTCCCCTCTTAACATACTTGGGATTGGTTCAATTCACTTGAGGGATCAGGATGAATCAATCAAAACCTTAACAGGTGTCCATTATGTACCAGATTTAATGAGAAATCTCATTTCTGTGGGAACCTTAGAGTCAAAAGGTTTAGAAGTGAGGGCAAAAGATAGGATTATGAGGATTATTTCTGGTGCACTGGTGATAATGAAGGGAATCTGGAAAAGAAACAATGTGTATTACTTTCTGGGTAGTACAATTGTTGGGACAGCAGCAGTGACAGCTTCTACTGATGAACAGGAGTTAGAAGCAACCATGTTATGGCATATGCGCTTGGGGCATGTTGGTGAAAAATCCTTGAAATTGCTGATAGATCAAGGATTATTGAAGGGTGCTCGGGCTTGCAAATTAGCTTTTTGTGAACATTGCATCAAAGGGAAGAAGACGAGGGTGAAATTTGGAACAGAAATCCATGATACTAAAGGTATTTTGAATTATGTTCATTCAGATGTATAGGGGCCTTCCAAGACAACTTCATTGGGAGGAACACACTATTATGTCACCTTTGTTGATGATTTTTCCCGGAGAGTTTGGGTGTATACAATGAAGACAAAGGATGAGGTGCTAGGATTTTTCCTTAAATGGAAAAAGATGGTGGAGACTCAAACAGGCAGAAAAATCAAACGTCTCCGAACAGACAATGGTGAAGAGTACAAAAATGATCAATTTCTGAAAGTCTGTGAAGAAGAAGGTATTGTCAGACATTTCACTGTCAGAAGTACACCACAACAAAATGGGGTGGCAAAGTGAATGAATCGGACATTAGTAGAGAAGGTTCGGTGTATGTTGTTTAATGTTGGGTTAGGCAAAGAATTTTGGGCTGAGGCTTTGGTCTATGCTTGTCACCTTGTCAACCGCTTACCATTGACTGCTATTGGTGGTAAAATACCATTAGAGAAATGTTTTGGAGTACCTGCTACAGATTATGATTCCTTACATGTGTTTGGTTCCACTGCATACTACCATGTTAAGGAGTCAAAGCTGGATCCAAGAGCAAAGAAGACGATCTTTATGGGGATCACCTATGGTGTGAAAGGCTATCGTCTTTGGTATCCAGAAACAAAGAAAATAATCTTCAGCAGGGATGTTACCTTTGATGAATCTACCATGTTGAGAAAGGTGACTTCAAAAAAATTGGAGCAGACAGATGGAACTCCCAAACAGGTGGAGTTTGAAGGAAGCAGAATTCTCAGTCAGTAAAAAAACTGATGTTGACTCTCCTATGGTAGAAGAATAGTCAGATGAAGAAGAGGTTCAGACCCAAGAACCTCTACAACAATATAAATCAATTGCACTCAGAAAGGGAAAGATGACCATTAGACAACCTGCTCGTTATGCTGATATGGTCTCTTTTGCATCACCAATTACAATTGATGACGTTCCTGCCACTTTTAATGAAGTAGTCCAAAGTTCAGAACATAAAAAGTGGAGGATCGCCATGAATGAAGAAATACAATCTCTTCAAAAGAATCAGACGTGGAAACTATCTAGTCTTCCGAAGGGAAAGAAGGCAATTGGGTGCAAATGGGTATATGCAAAGAAATATGGATTTCCTGACAAGAATAGCATCCGCTACAAAGCAAGATTGGTGGCTAAAGGCTACGCTCAAACGGAGGGAGTTGATAATGAAGTATTTTCTCCAGTTGTAAAACATTCCTCCATCAGAATTTTGTTAGCTTTGGTAGCACAGTTGGATTTGGAACTAGTTCAGATGGATGTAAAAACTGCATTTTACATGGAGACTTGGATGAGGAAATCTACATGACTCAGCCAGATGGATTCAAAGTTGCTGAAAAAAAGAGATGGTGTGCAAATTAGAAAAATCGCTATACAGATTGAAGCAATCTCCAAGGCAGTGGTACAAGCGATTTGACAAGTTTATGATAGGGCAGAAGTACACAAGAAGAAAATATGATCATTGCGTGTATTTACGCAAGCTACAAGACGGATCCTATATATCTTCTTCTTTATGTTGATGATATGCTGATAACTTCCAGGAGTCAGACAGAAATTGCGAAACTAAAGACTCAATTGAACAAGGAGTTTGAGATGAAGGATCTTGGTGAAGCAAAGAAGAATCTAGGCATAGAGATATCAAGGGATAAGAAATTGGGGAGGCTTTGTTTGTCTCAGAAAGAATATCTGAGGAAGGTACTAAAACGTTTTGGCATGAATGAGAAGTTAAAACCAGTTAGTACACCTCTTGCTCCTCATTTCAAGCTCGGTGCATCCATGTCACCTAATGATGATGCAGAACGGGAATACATGTCAAAGGTTCCGTATGCAAGTGCTGTTGGTAGATTAATGTATGCAATGGTGTGTACGAGACCCGATATTTCACAGGCAGTTGAGGTTGTGAGCATGTATATGCATGATCCTGGAAAAGAGCATTGGGAAGCTGTGAAATGGATTCTGCGGTATATTCTGAACACCGTAGATATTGGTTTGGTCTTTTAGCATGACAAACAAGATGGTCAATGTGTAGTTGGGTATTGTGATTCAGACTATGCAGGTGATTTGGACAAGCGTCGATCAACTACTGGTTATGTGTTTACATTTGCAAAAGCACCAGTCAGTTGGAAGTCCACCTTACAGTCAACAGTGGCTTTGTCTACTATAAAGGCAGAGTATATGGCAGTTACAAAGGCTGTGAATGAGGCAATTTGGCTTCAAGGGTTGTTTGGTGAATTGGGAATGGAACAAAAGCACATCAAAGTGCACTGTGAGAGTCAGAGTGCTATTCATTTAGCAAAGAACCAAGTTTACCATGCAAGGACGAAGCACATCGATGTTTGATATCACTTTGTACGAGATATTCTAGAAGAATGTGGAGTCATAATCCAGAAGATTCGGACCACTGAGAATCCTGCTGATATGTTGACAAAAGTGGTAACTGCGGTCAAGTTTAAACATTGTTTAGACTTGGTCAATATTGTTATAAATTGAAAGATGAATTTGCAGACACTGCTGAAGATTGGATTTTTTGAGAGACGTGTGTGGAATTTGCCAAGGTGGAGATTTGTTGGTTTTTGGCAAATATCCCACATTGGTTTTGTATAAGGAGGAGGGGAAATTCTTTTGTTATAAATAGAGCCCTCCTCCTCCTTAGTTTAGCATCCCACAAATATAAGTCTTCTTCTATATTAAAGGCTATTTGTATTCTTTCTTTCTCTTTGTAATATTTCCTCTACTAGTGAAATATTATTTTAGTAGTGTTCGAGGAGGTAGGCATAATTTTGGCATAACCTCGTTAAATTTTGGTGTTCTCTTTATGTCTATTTAATAGCTATTGTCGGGTATAGTTGTTGTTGATTATTGTCCTATTAAAATTACTTGTCTTGGTAGTTCTGTCTAAGGAAAGTGAATTTTAAGAGGGACCATTGTGACCCCTCCTCTTTCCTGGGAATCTACCTTGGGTGATTTTTAGTACAATCGTTTTCACACTAGTCACCTAGATAATAGTTTTCAAGGTGAATTTGTTATTATTAGTGGAAACTAACCTGAATTCCACAACATATGTTATGGTATTCTGAGCAATGTTGTTGATGACGAGTTGGAAGGATATGTTCTTCCGTACTTAGTCAGAAGATGGTGATGTTGCATTAGTGGATGTTTTTTTCTACGCCAATAAATAGATATGGATCGTTCCTCATCAAACAGTAGATATGATTTTTCATGTTTCATAAACATACCATATTATCACTCGAAAAGGGCAAAAGGCGTCCACCAATATCACTACAACATACTCTAATAGCATACTCAACACAAGATTATTATACAATAGTATTATCAAATCCTGTATTTACTTCATACGCATTATATTTTTTATGCTCCTCCTCCAATACCACCAAACTTAATCCAGTAAATCCAACCAATAACGTCGTTTTCATTAATAAATTTTTTCATATTTCCGCAATTCATATTCAATGGTGGAATTGCTGGTTAGATATCTCTATATTGGTTATTCTTCCCATGTCATCTATTATGGTGCGACTGAGACGCATTGATGGATGAACTCGCTTGATGAACACACATTGATATCGATAATGTTGGAAATAATATTAGTCAAGATGATAAAAATATTGTCAATGATGATCATTCTAAAAACAATATAGATATCTCATACAAAAGGCTTAATACCCAAATAAGTGCCCAAACTATTCATTTTGTACCAAATAAGTGCCTATGTTTTTTTTGGCCCATTCGGGTGCCTAACGTTACAAACGTTGGCACTTTAGGTGCCCGGGCCGTCAACGACATTAGTTTTCTCCGTTAAGTGACACGTGTCACAAAATGATAATTTTAAAATTTTTATATAAAAATAAAAAAATAGAATTATATATTCAAAAAAATAAAACACATAAATTTTGAAATAACTCTTAAACTTTGAAAACTCATCATTTCAACCCCTAAACCTACGCTGTCCGCCGCACTTTGTCGTCGAAGAAGCTCCACCCGAGCTCCCCTCCCTCAGGCGACCAAAATCCCTATGAAATTAGGATTGATCGAAATCGATGTTTTAAATCCCGCGAACCATAGGATGAAAATCACGATTTCGATGGTGAATTGGCAACAACTATGGCAACATATAACTAGGATGATGGCAAGGACTACGTCGGTGGCGGTGGTTGTGGCCGGAGAAGGCGGCGACGACAGATTAAGGTTAGGATTTGAGATTTTGGGACTGTTTTATAATATAAGAAAAATTATGTTTTTTCTTCTTCTAAATATAGTAATATTTTTAATATTTTTTAAAAATATATTTCAAAATTACCAAGTGGTATTGTGTGTCGTTTAATGGGAAAAACTAACACCGTTGACGGTCCAAATAATGAAAATGCTAATATTTGTAACGTTAAGCAACTGGATAGAAAAAAATATATACACTTATTTGACAAAAAATGTATAGTTTATGAACTTATTTGGGCATTAAGCCCATCCGAAATCGATAATTCATCACACTGTTGAACCCATTAACCAATAAGTCATTGATTATACTATCTTTTTTTAATTTGAACTATAATATTTAAGTTGCATTTAAGTTTATAACACTTTAAATTTTCTCAAATTTATAATAAAACCATTCAAGTTTGTAACAATTTTAATTTCCCCAGTCTACAACAACTTCTTTTAAGTTTATACCCATTTTAGTTTCAAGTTCATTTAAGTTTATAACAATTTTAATTTCTTTAAACTATAATAAATCATTTCAAGTTTATAACCTTTTTACTTATTTTTTTAATACAATTCTTTGAATTAAACCTTTTGTCAATCGTTTATTTTACGAGGACCAAAATATTTTTCTCAAACTACACTTTTCACACCTTTATTATAAGTGTACATTATTTTAAAAATTGATTTAGAATGTCAAATTTGAACAAACTAATTTTTTTTAGTGGTTAAAATAATCGTTATTGTTTTTATACTTCAAGGATTCGAGCACCAACAACTATAATATAATGATTGAATATTTATTATGAAATAATTTAAAATATTTACAACATATATTACATTTATAATGACTTTAATTTAATAAAAAATAAATACTATTTTTAAAAACAATTATTTAATGATAATATTCAGATCGAAAAAAGTACTGAATTAGGCATGATGTGATGTTGAGGTAGATCCCTATAAATCGCCTTACCTAGTACCCGTCCAAATACATGTGGTCAAAAGAAACCCCACAACTAATTCCAAATGCTTTGGATACATAACATCCACCTCAACTCAATTTCACAGCTAAATAACTTCGGTTGTGAAAGTGATAGAAGAGAGTTGAGTAGGTACAATGAAATCAAGCCATCAACGGTCCACAATCTCTCTCTGGTATCAAATAAGGTATGAACACGTGGCACAACTCTGGAATACGATGTGATAACCAACTTTTTCTATTCTATTTTTTTGGGATAAATATCACTCTCATTTTGGTTATTAATGTTTAAAAAATTTTAATTTACTCACTAGTTACAAGTCTCTTTTGACTTTTTGATGATGAAACATATCTTCCAAATCCTAATGATGGGGGATTGGATAAGGAGGAAGTAAGTTCTATATATTTATTTCATACTGATCAAACGGTAGATATTATAGATTAGAATGGTTTTGAGGGTTTTATGAGTTTAAAGTTCAAGGTCGAGTTTTATGAGTTTTAAGGTGATTTAAATAAAATTAAATTTATAGAGTGGCATAAGACAATGAGACGAGTTCATCGATATCTTGAGTGATAAGAGAAGACACCAAAGAATGGCAATTACAACATATATATATGACACAAGGATGAAATTATAAAACTTTTATATTTAGAGGAAGAAGGTAAACTCAATAAAAGGAAAATGACATAGATAATACATGTATTTCGTGTTAATAAAATATAGTCCAAGACACATGACTGCCTTATTACCATTCTATTTATGATTTAACACTTAACTGATCAAAATAAGTACACACTAAAAATTTAATAAATAAATTGATTTTTTTAACTTTAATGATAAAAATAAGAGAAATAATAAAGTTGAGTGATGAAATATGTAATTTACCCTTAGTTTGGGGTAAATGAATCTACCTTCACCCTGATTCGGCGTTTTTCATAATCATACTGATGAACCATCTCTCACCGCTTGATCACAACCCAACATCCATCTCAATCTGTTGACCAGCTAGATCTTATCCGTTTCCTTTTTCTAGTACTGAAAAATATACATCCTCTCTTATGCTAACCCTAAGGCCAGAGCATTTGCAGATGATTTTGAAAAGAAAGAAGTGAAATGAAAGCATATATAATCTAAGATCCTTTCTCTCTCAGAATACTGCTTAAACGCATACCCCCTTTTCTTTTTTCCGAAAATCAGAAACACCAGGTACCCTTTATTTTATTATTATTGCCTTCTGTTTATGATTTACATTTACTGCGTTTTTATTAATCTTTTTTTCCCCAAAGAAAACGTGATAAAGAACCTTCAGTATGAACGTGGGATCTGATTTTTTTTGGAAAGATGATGTTTTGAACGTAAAGAAATGGAAAGATCTGTTTTATTTTTCGTTGACATGTGGATCGATATTGCATTTCTTATGCTCGCGTTTTAGAAATTGATGGGTTTTCCGTTTTGTGAGTGTTTTTCTTATGATTGATTGTTTGTTGATTATTGAGATGTTGGTTAAATGGGCTCCGCTTTTATGGTTTTTGGTGAGTTTAGGTTTTTGAAGCAACATTCGTGAAAATGGAAAACGGGGTAGCAATGGTTGATGGTTCTGTTACGGGGGACAATATAATTGCGGAAGAAAGAGTTGCCAATGAGAAAGTGGATGTGTGGGTTGTTGGGGATTCCGGTGAAATGAAGGGACGAGAATATGAGGGTTTTGAGGAGTCAATTGTAACACAGGCGAATTTGCAAGAACTGGCTGAAAAATCAGCGCTTGATGACGGTGGTTTAGTTGCCAATGTAATTGAAAATTTTGAAGAGGCTATTGAGGTTCCAGCTGAGGTTAGAGCTCAGGAGAATGCGATTACAAGTGAGGTTGGAACTCAGGGGGATGTGGCAGAGTTGGTGGTTGAGCAGAAAGAGAAGGAAGTGTTGAGCGGGGAGAGTGTTGTTGGCGGTGTGGCGTTGGATAAGATTGACGATGGAGGGACTGAAATGGGAGGAAAGGCTGATGAATTGAATGGTGGCCTGGAAGTACCTGAAATCAGAGGTACTGGAGAAACAGCTGTTCTGAGGGATGATGAAAAGGGAAATCTGAAGTCTGATACTGTAACTGAGATGCCTGTAAAAGGTGATACCGATAAGGCACATGTGATTCCAAGTGAGGTTGGAACTCAGGGGGATGTGGCAGAGTTGGTGGTTGAGCAGCAAGAGAAGGAACTGTTGAGTGGGGAGAGTGTTGGTGGCAGTGTGGTGATGGATAAGATTGACGATGGAGGGACTGAAATGGGAGCAAAGTCTGATGAATTGAATGGTGGCCTGGAAGTACCTGAAATCAGAGGTACCGGAGAAACAGCTGTTCTGAGGGATGAGGAAAAAGGAAATCTGAAGTCTGATACTGTAACTGAGATGCCTGTAAAAGGTGATACCGATAAGGCACACGTAGAGGGAACATTGGCTGATGAAAAGTTGGACACTTTGGAAAGTGATGGGGTGGAGGAAGATGTAAAATCAGAATCTAATTTGGAGGTTTTGAATCAAGAGGATAAGGGTGAGGAGTCAAGAGAGGATGTAATGGCTTCTAATTATCAAGACAAAAATGTGCTGGAATCTGCTGATACTTCAGCTGGCATGAGTTTCAAGCTTGAGGATGACAAAGTCATTGAAACTGTGAATGACAAGTCAGCTAATGCTGATATGGGAGATAAGGGAACAAAGAGTAGGGAAGTAAAAAGTGGAGATGAAAATGAAAAGGCAGGTGACACTTTTGCTGCTGAGGAGGTGGAGGATAACATGATTGGTGAAGCAAAAGATTCATCAGTTGCAAGGGACAAAAAGCATAATGGTAAGATTGATGAACTGGAAAATTCGCTGTCTGGGCTAGGTAAATCTGTCGAAGGGACAATTGATTCTGCATCTGGAAACTTATCTTCTACGGAGAAGTCCACAGGTGAGAGGAATGAACAGATTCAGGCTGTTAAAACCGATATGCGAACAGAGCTTCATGATGGTTTTCAATCTCGGCTTCCTGATGAAGTGGATCAAGATATTCACTTTTTGACTGAAAAATCTGAAAAGAAAGCAGAGAAAGATCATCAAGATAAGCAAAGCTATACAGTGACTCTAGAGAAGGAAGTGCAAGATGCTCCAGGATCTTCTTTGTCTGCAAAAACCGAGGAGTTTGGGAAGAAAGCAGACAGAGATCAGGAGCCTAAGCCAAACACCTTTGTGACTAGAGAATGCGAAATTCTACCAGCTCCAGCATCGTCAACACCTGTTATATGTACAAATCCTGGTACCTCTTCTCATCCTGCTGGCCTTGGACGTGCTGTTCCGCTATTGGAGCCTGCACCCAGGATGGCGCAGCAGCCTCGTGCAAATGGAAGTGACTCTCGGGCACGTTCACAGCAAGTTGAAGATCCTGGTAATGTTGAGGCTGAGGATAGTGATGAGACACGGGAAAAGCTTCAGTTGATTAGGGTTAAGTTTTTGCGTCTTGCAAATCGGCTTGGGCAGACTCCCCATAATGTTGTTGTGGCACAGGTTCTGTACAGACTTGGATTAGCTGAGCAGCTCCGGGGGAGAAATGGGGGCCGTGTCGGTGCCTTTAGCTTTGACCGTGCAAGTTCTATGGCAGAACAGCTTGAGGCAGCTGGAAATGAACCCCTTGATTTCTCCTGTACAATTATGGTACTTGGGAAGACGGGAGTTGGTAAAAGTGCTACCATCAATTCAATATTTGATGAAGTCAAGTTTGGTACTGATGCTTTCCAGACAGGTACAAAGAAGGTTCAGGATGTTGTGGGTACAGTCCATGGTATTAAGGTCCGTGTAATTGATACACCAGGCCTTCTTCCTTCCTGGTCTGACCAATGCCAGAATGAGAAGATCCTTCGTTCTGTTAGAAGTTTCATCAAGAAAACACCTCCAGATATTGTGTTGTACCTTGATAGGTTGGACATGCAAACCAGGGATTTTGGTGATATGCCCCTCTTGCGTACCATCACTGAGATCTTTGGTCCATCTATATGGTTTAATGCAATTGTGGTTTTGACTCACGCAGCTTCTGCTCCACCTGATGGTCCAAATGGTACTGCTTCTAGTTATGACATGTTTGTCACTCAACGTTCTCATGTTGTCCAGCAGGCTATTCGTCAGGCAGCTGGGGATATGCGGCTCATGAATCCTGTTTCGTTAGTGGAGAATCACTCTGCATGTAGAACAAATAGGGCAGGCCAGAGAGTATTGCCTAATGGTCAGGTCTGGAAGCCTCACTTGTTGTTGCTTTCTTTCGCATCCAAAATTCTGGCTGAAGCAAATTCACTTTTGAAGTTGCAAGATACTCCCCCAAGAAAGCCTTTTGCTACTCGAACAAGAGCACCTCCTTTACCTTTCCTTCTTTCATCACTTCTTCAATCAAGACCACAAGTTAAGCTGCCTGAAGAGCAGTATGGCGAAGATGATGGATTGGATGATGATTTGGATGAATACTCAGACTCCGAGGAAGAACCGGAATATGATGAGTTGCCACCGTTCAAGAGGTTGACTAAAGGACAAATAGCAAAGCTTAGTAAAGCTCAGAAGAAGGCATATTTTGATGAGTTGGAATATAGGGAAAAACTTTTTATGAAAAAGCAACTGAAGGAAGAGAAAAAGCGGCGAAAGATGATGAAGAAAATGGCTGCTGCAGCTAAGGATCTGCCAAGTGAGTATGGTGAAAACGCAGAAGAAGAAAATAGCGGTGCTTCTTCTGTTCCGGTTCCCATGCCAGATTTGGCGTTGCCTGCTTCTTTTGATTCTGATAATCCTACTCATCGCTATCGTTCCCTTGATTCCTCCAACCATGGCTTGTGAGGCTGTTCTAGATACTCATGGTTGGGATCATGATGTGGGTTACGAAGGTATTAATGTGGAAAGACTGTTTGTTGCTAAAGATAAATTTCCTATTTCATTTTCTGGCCAGATTACCAAGGACAAAAGGGATGCCAATGTCCAAATGGAATTGACCAGTTCTTTAAAGCATCGGGAAGGTAAAGCAACTTCAGTGGGTTTTGATATGCAGACTGTTGGAAAGGACTTGGCCTATACACTGCGCAGTGATACCAGGTTTAGTAATCTCAAGAAGAACAAGGCTACAGCAGGAATCTCGGTTACACTCTTGGGTGATGCATTGTCGGCTGGAGTGAAAGTTGAAGACAAATTGATTGCTAATAAGCAGTTCCAGGTAGTCATGACTGGGGGTGCTATGACTGGTCGTGGTGATCTTGCTTATGGGGGCAGCTTGGAAGCCCAATTGAGGGATAAAGATTACCCTCTGGGTCGCTCCTTGTCTACTCTTGGTTTATCTATAATGGATTGGCATGGAGATCTTGCCATCGGATGCAATATACAGTCACAAGTGCCCATCGGACGGTCTACAAACCTAATAGCTCGTGCCAATCTGAATAACAAAGGTGCAGGACAAGTCAGTTTGCGACTAAATAGCTCGGAGCAGCTACAGCTTGCTTTGATTGCTCTCCTTCCATTACTGAAAAAGCTATTTGATTTTACCCATCAAATGCAATATGGACAATACTGAGAATTAGGATGCAGTGGATACGACATTTTTAAAATGGTCTCTGTGGGTCCTTGAAGACTAAGTGAAACTCTGAAAGTAAGGCGCTGAAAATTTTCCATCGTTTTTCTTTAATCTTTGCTCTGATTATATAGTGATTGTAGTTTCTTTGTTTTGGATATTTTGCATAATAAGGTTATTTTTTGTTCCCATGAAAACCATGTTCAATCACGAAGTGCTTTTTTCCTCACTTGCCTGCATCATTATGGTTCAACTACTAACAAAGATTTATGTGCGAAAGTAGCACAAGATTACACAGGTTACCAAATCTTTGCACTCACCCAACTACAATCAGCGACTGTAATACGGCTCAAGATTGTATTGTGACACTCTAGCTTGATAAAAGAACACAAATCTGATCCGTTTTTGAGTTCAGGCCTTGTAGGATGGAGCTTGAATGTGTAATATTAAAGCCAGGGACAATGTTTGCCCCCAAGCTTGAATGTGTATTCTACTTGTACGGGCTTCATACCATACAAGACACCATGGTGCCAAAATGAAGATGGCTTATGTTATACCCCCTAAATATTAAAGACCCAAAACTGAACTGGGAACGAGCCGATGCTTATGAGGAAGGCAATGGTGGCATTGGAGGCAATTGCCGCCTGAAGTTTGGGGACCCCGTAGCTGCTGTCGATCCAGAAGGCCTTGGAGGCACATGATTACCTGACCTTAGGCACAAGGACATGGGCTGAGCAGGTGTAGAATCATCTCCATGCCTAACATGTAAACATCAGTCAGTATTTGCGCAGGTCCAGCAATTGCACCACACTCATTTGAACACATCTCACATCTATCAATTAAATATATGTGAAAAATATTACATTAATAATATAGAAATGACATTTTTCATCCAACAATGTCTGTTTTGATCAAAAATTAAAATATTGGGGTCTAAAAAAGAATATGATACAAAATGACTATTTTGTGCAAAAGTTGGAGATAATTTTGTTATTATGCATTCTTTTAATATTTGTAAAATCTAGCAATATTATATGGAGTTCAATATAAACATGTAACAAATTTAACAAAAAATTATTAAAATAGTGCGTGAACCAATTTAAAGCCTAAACTCTAAAGTAACAATTCACAAATAGATGAAACTATCCTATTATAATCAAAGTAATCATCCACTAATACATCAAATTAACATATTACATCCACTCTTGAAAAAAAATTAACAATACATACAATACTAAAATTAAGACAACCATCATCCTAAAAAAATAAACAAATTTAACAAGTTGTTCACGAGCTAACGAAGTCAAGGGCTAGAAATTGGACGGTGCATGGTGGAGGTATCAGTTAATGGGCAACGGTTTCTAGGTTAGCTCAAAATCATTTTATGTGTTTTTGCATTTTATAACATGGCGGGAGCTTGAGAATGAAGAAGAGCTCGTCCACCAGTCAAAAGTTTTTGGGGAGTCAAACCCCTTTTTATGTGGTTGTCTCGTGTGGTAGAGTGATCGTTTTAATGTGTCACATTAGATTTTAGTTACTCTTATAAACCGCTGTGAACGATTAGTGACGTTACAAATCGATAAGGTAAACAATCAGTTTATTACTTTTTAAATTTTAATGAGAAAAATAAAAATTTACTCAAACATTATTGATTATTTGTGTAATTTACCCTAAGATAAATAAAGAAAATGACGTTAATCGAGCATTTTTCCTGAAAAATCACCGGTTACCGATATATTTACCGATCTAACACCGGTCAGATTATATTTTTCGATCTAACACCCGTAGCAGTAAAACGCGCTTCCTGCCCTACGTTATATGCTGATTTGGCGCCACGTGAGGTATAGCGCCCCCTGTACCGCGCTATACGCTGACATGGCTTACATGTAGGTATAGCGCGGCCCCTGATCCGCGCTATAGCTGTTTATCTGACACGTGGGGTATAGCGCGGTACAGGGGGCGCGCTATACCTTTAATTACCCCAAATCCTCCCTATAAATACCCTCATCCTCTATTACTTTCAACACACCATATTCTCTCAAATTCTCTTAAATACTCTCTCTATTTAAGGTATATTTTATAATATTTTTAATATTATGTATTTAATTTATTTAAGCATTTTACTTTATTTAATATTTTACTAATATAATTTTTTTGCAGATATATAATGGAAGGCAGTCTACTTCGCTTGGATGAAAATCATATATCTCGACACTTTGCTAATACGGTAATATTTTAACGTTTTAATTTAATTTAAATTATTTGTAATAATTTGTTGATTTATTTAATGCATGATTTTTAGATTAAGAATTAATTTGTGTAATTATTTAATTTTAGGAGAAGGACCGTGTATTAGATCCTTTTATTAGGAATCTTAAGTTAGTGATACCTAGCCGTGTCTTGCCGTATTTAGTAGAAGCTGAATTTGGTTACATAGGTAGATATCATGGTCACTGTAAGATAGAACCAGACCTTATTTCTGCCTTAGTAGAGCGGTGGAGGCTGGACACCCACACGTTCCATCTTCCGTGCGAAGAGTGCACGATTACACTTGACGATGTTGCTATGCACCTAGGGCTTCCGGTGGATGAAGATGTGATATCAGGGATCTCGCAGGGTTCCTGGACTACTTTGTGCCGGGATAATCTAGGACGTGTCCCGGAAAGTTTTATTGGAGGTAGGATACCGTTAAATTGGTTAGATGCCAATTTTTCTGGAGTTGAGCGCAGACACCTCTGAGGATGAAGTTAAGATGTATGCATGGGCATGCATACTGCAGTTGATAGGAGGGTTGCTGATGCCGGACAAATCGTGCAACCTAGTTCACTGCATGTGGTTGCGACATCTTAGCGACTTTCGTCTGGCCGGATCATTCAGTTGGGGCTCGGTAGTTTTGGCTTTGCTGTACAAGGAGATGTGTGGAGCCACTGACTACAGGCGTAATGCTATCGTCGGATGTCTCCTACTGCTGCAGTCTTGGGCATGGTATCGATTGCCCTTTTTATGTTTCGTTGTGAAGAACCCATTCATATTTCCACTACTTCTGAGATAATTATAAAACTGATTTTGTATATTAATAATTTTATACAGCGTATAATAATTTTTTTTCCTTGAATAGGTAGTCTACTGATAGAAAAAATCATCAGGAGCTACCTGATGATTTAGAAAAAATTAGGGTGCTAATCGATCAGAAGGCTGGCACACAGGTATGAATTTTAATGTTTAAAAATCAATTTTAGATTATAGTTATATAATTAGATTATTATTTTGATAAAAAATTATATAATATTTGTTTTAGTTTGAATGGGTGGCATCTTGTACTGATGATGTGAGGGCGGTGATCCCACCTGAGTTGAGGGGCCCATCAGATGTTTGGATGGCGATGGTCCCTCTGATATGTTATGCGACCGTCGAGTGGCACTCTACTGATCACGTGCTCTGGCAGTTTGGTTGTTTTCAACCAATTCCGGAAGCACCTCACAATATTGACGAGTTGCATAGCTTAGATAGACGCGGCAAGACAGATACAGATTGGCTGGTGAGACATCATGAGTGGGTCGTGTTGTGGGAGGATCGACATCGTCGCCTTCCCCGTAGAGAGCCCATTTTTACTTGACCTCTTGAGTGTTGCTGAAGGTTATTATGAGTGGTTCAACAGTAACGGGAAACCGTTTATGCTTCCCGAGGATGCACGAGGGCAGACCTTTCCGCGACGTCGACAGAGACGTTCACCGACACAGCACCATCGTCCCCTGACTCGTGGACGGAGAGTAGGTGCTTCCGGTTCATCCTCAGCTGCACCAGCAGGACCTTCATAGTAGCCACCGTCACAGATGACCCCTCCTGGAGGCTATTATGGGTCTATGTTTGTAGATCTGACTTGGGGTTCATATGCTGGATATATGGCGGGTTCAGCCTCATCACCCATGGCCGCAACACAGACACCTTCTGTACAGTTTTCACACTCAGCGATGTCTGTGTTTTATGAGTTTTCCCAGTTTTTGCAGGCCAGTGGGATAGTCAGTCATACACCTCAATGATCCTTATTCTATGGAGGTGCTTCATCGTCATCAGCTCCTCATCAACCTAATATACTGCTCAGGACGATGACGATGGTGATGATGACAGAACGGTCTGCTGTTATCTGAAAAAGGTTAAAATTTACAGAATGAGCTAAAAAGCCCAATGTGTTCCATACAGCGTACAAAAACATATTAATAAGATATTATCAATAAAAATCGATTTATGCAATATGTTTTTTTTTAAAATATGAACACTACCCCCCATCCGTCACGAACAAATTGTGTAGGTTCCCATAACCATACACCCCGTCACGACCAGTAAGGCCCTAAGCACAAAGCCGAGGAGCCTGCAATATTTTCTTCCTCCAACAATTCTTCCCCCCCAATGACAGTAATAAACAAATATGTATTCGAGTAAAAATGGTGATTAATCCATTAAAACATGAAAATGGATCATGCTTGAAAATCATATACAGAAATACGGTAATCAGATGTCGGTAACCATTATTCAGAAATCAGATATCATGTATCATGTCATAACAATATTTTGAATAATCACCATTCTGAAATAATTCAAATAATATTTTAAAACAGTAAAACAACACTGTCAGGAAACACACCTGTCACACTCTGAGAAATCGGATAGGGAATCCTACTATTGGGTTTGTCGATCACGTTCTGCTGCAGCGCTAGATCCTACGAATTAGAAAAATCCATATTGGAATCCAAATATAAATAATCTAAATATTATTTAAATAATATACGGAAACCTACGGGTAATTCTCGTAGTACGCGGTTCAAGCTGATCTAACGAACGGATAACACCGGACCTAATTGATCCTTGCTCAGGTGAAACACGAGTACCTTCATAAAATATTTTTATTGAATAAATCCTTGACCAAATCTCATTTAAATAATCAAAATATTAAAATATTAAGCCTTTTGGGTTTACAAGCTCGATTCGGGAATTTCGGGTCAGAATTTGGCAAAACAGACTTCGGAATCAAATTCAGGACGTCGAAAAACATAAAGTATGATCTTCTGAAATTTCGAATTCTTGGTCAAAATTAAAGTCAACGGATTTGACTGACGATTTGGGGACTTTCGGGTTTGAATTTAGTGAAACGGACCCCAAAAACAGATTCGGGACGTCGAAAACTATCAGGATA